TCAAGCACCTTTCAGTCCATCAGTGGCTTCGCTCTGCCATCCCTGATTCACAACAACCAACCTCTCCTGTAGGTTTCCTATTTTTGAAACTTCCGCCACCGCCTTGTGCAGTACTACTGGTATAATATCATATAATTTATGATATGTATATAATTTTATATATTATTATATATTTATGGTAAGCCAACCATAATTAAGCATGATATACCGCAAAACATACTCCAAGGATTCCATTTTGATACCCAAAATCAACTTCAAGGTGCCTCCATCTCTTTGATCACGGCGCAAGCCACGTCTTTTGAGACCGAATGGGCTGCAGTGGACTGGTGTCATCTGTAGTCATAGAAAGGGGGATGGCAACGAATGGGAAACGAGCCAAAGATATCCAAAGGCACAAAAGTGTAGCGTAACTCATCTGTTCCACAAAGTTCCAAAAATTCCACATGTTCATGTACGTGCTACCACGGTCGGCTTATGCCAACCAAAGCCAACGGGAAGAATGGCGTCCGGACACCAAGGCTCACGAAGAAAAACAAAGTCTCAATAGGTGTCTCGGGACAGATATGCCTCAGTTGACTCAAACAAAACAAGCTAGTTAACAGTTTACACCTTCATGGTACTGTACTGTGCGATCATCACTTTCCTTGACGACAAACAGCTTCAGTATAAACAACCACCAAAGTCTACGGAACTCACGTCATATTTTCTCAAAACCTTGAAGCAAAATGGCCATGTTTGGAGTGAAGGAGTAATACGGATAGAATCAAGAAATATCAAGAAGTATTTGCGTGACATCTATGTACAAGTCTTGCATTCAATACAAAGCAGTCTTACAATCGTCTCCTCTCTATGCACACTTTGCAAGTTCAAAGAAGAAACTGACTTCGTTGAGCTCTGCACACTCGAAGCAAAGGCACAGCCTCGGCAACAAACAGTCTGTGCTAACGCATAACTGCAGTTCAATACAAGATTATAGAATCGAAATGAATCGAATATTATAGACGACGATTATAGAGAACAAATCAGAACAAGAGTGTGCCAGGGATTGCGGCACTGAATCAACGGGCACTGCAACCCAAGGAATCTTCGAGCATTTCATGCAACTTCGTCAGACTTCGTCATGCAGCATTACGTGTTTTTTGGCACGCACTCAGGTTCGAACAGCTTCACCTCTTGACGCAAGAAACACAGTGACATACAGTGACATATTGCGCCAAAGTGGGGCTTCATTGTCCGTGTCAACCCCCTAAAACTTGGTCCAATACGATTTTTGCCTTCCGACCACTGTCGCCCGCACAGCGTGCACCAGTGCCTTCCGCAACATCTGCCAGCGCATCTGGACAAGCTGGAGGGCCAGAGGGGCCTGTATACCTGTCACAGCTGTCACTCCAGTCGGCACGGTCGACACAGGTGCACATAGTCCTTGCAAAAGTGGCTTGCAAAGTGGCTGCGTTATGGTGCATTGGAAGGTCCTGACTGATCTCCAATATAGATTCAAACCAGCCCACGTTGAAGCACCAGTCAACGATTGAACATGCTTTGGGCAGTGAGGTTTCCACAGGTTCTAGTCCATTCAAAACTCTGCACTCCAAATATCTTGAGTTCAAGTCCCGGTTTTGTGGTCGTGGGTAGGATGTTCTCACCCCGTCACCAATGCTTTGGACCTCGCTGCTGTGCTAAACGATGTCAGCAAACCAAGCACCTCAACGGTACTGCGACTCTGCGACATCGTGGTGGGCTTCCAGATCATCATAGTTTGTATGGAGAAGGCTCTGGAAGAGCAATAACCACCATTTTTCTAGCCGAATCTTGCCACTTCTCAACGAACTCTGCATGACCGTTCGTGCAGTTCAGGCTTGTGCAGCATCTATTTCCGCTATAAATGTAAGCCAATGTTAGTTGTAGTTTGAGCGGGTTAGAACCCCAGTATCTACTGACCATCTGTGATGTTTCATGTTTGATGTGTCTTTTGGGCAGCACAATTGCAACAAGCCAAGGTACCAGTGTGAGCGGTGACTCCACATCAGGTACAACGCAGCTGGGGCCTGCGTGCTTCGACTCAAGCCAGCTTCAGTTCATCAATTCACCAAGAAGAGATCTAAGCAGAATGACATTTGTTGAGCATCTGGTGGACAGTGGACATGACATATAACGACATGACGACCTGACGTCTTTCGGCCTTCAAAATACAATCCGCCACCGTTGAAGACGTAAGTCATCTCTGTACCAAGGGCCTGCAACCACCGGCAACTATGGCATGGCTTGTAGCGTCAACTGCCCCCAAATTGTCGACGTCACAACGATCCCAGAACATCACAGAACCATACAGAACCCTTAGAAACTCGCCATTTCGGCAACCGTTCCTGGCACTGTGAGACCACCAGCAAATATCTATATATACAGTATATATATATTAGTTATACAACATGTAGTCATGGAGCTGATGATTGAAATGCACCTCTTGTGCATTCTGAACCGCTGGAAGCCACGCCGCTACACCAGCCAGTTATGCATCTCCCAGGATAAAATGATGCAATGTTTAGGCGGTCGAGTGCCTCAACGCCAGCTCAACGATGAAATGAACAAGCTGACCATTGCTGGCCATACTATGCCATGTCTTTGCCATGTCCTAGTAGTGCCCGTCCACTCTGTCTATCCCTCCAACCCTGCCCGCCTGTAGCAGGATCAATGCTGAGTGTACAGCCAAGGCCTTGTCTAGTCAGAAAATATAAAAAGCGAAACTATGGGAAAAAACGAGAAAGGAGTCATGACATATTCTGAAATATCAAGCAGTGTGCAGAATGAAAGGATTGCAAAGGGTTTAAAACCTGAGACTCAGCTGGCCATGGTGCCACAGTTGCCCTGTTATCTGAGGCCCCAAGCTCCATAGGCCACACAGGTGCACTTGCAAAGCTTTGGAATTGGCCTGTCTTCATCTGGCTTCGAGCTGTGCTTGTGATAATCTTGTGATGTTGTGATGGCTACATCACATCATCTTGTGATAGTATGGGGGGATATGGGGGGGGTCCCAGCTGTGCTATGAGTGCTATGCTGTTGCAAGGGTGGCATAGATTTGCTGCATCTGCCCATGGCAGTTTCACGAGGGATTTTCTGCCGAAGATTGCAGGCTTCGGCAGCAAGATCATTTTCCAGCTGAGATGGACTTATCAGCATTGTCGGGCTACCCAGAAGGAGCCATCCATCTGTTGGGCCTTTCCATGCCTTTCCCATGGACAAAGCACAGTGTTTGTCATATCTTCGGATGTGTTTCGGTTGCAAGGAGTAGTGTCTGCGTTCACATTGCAATTCCAATAAAAACATATAAAAGCAATGTGAGTTCATGTGAGTTCATACGATTCGATCAGCAAAGTTCCACCTCTAAGCCTCCACAGTTTCATCTGTGCTAGGCCACACCAGCAGTGGCTATGGTTGGATGATTCACGGTGATTCACGGTGATTCACGGTGATTCACAGTGATTCCATCAAAATCGTCAAACAATGCCAGCGAAACAAGCGCAATGCCAACAGCTGTGCTAAAGGCATAAAAGCGCCACCAATGCCAGCGAAGAGCAGCATATTAAAGCGTGCCTGGGAGCATCGGGAGCATACGCTATGGTGCTCACTAAAGGCCAACAACGTTTCGCCATTCCGAAGATTTCTGTAGTGCCATTTCCAAGATTGTCCAAGGCGACTGGGAACTGGGAGGGACAGCATGGGACAGGAAGAGGTTGGACCAGTCACTGATTGCTGAAGGCCCTGACCACTGCCATATCGCCGGCAGCACCTGCCCATCGAGTGGCCTGCGCAGTGAATTGCGAAAGCAACAATTCAAGAAAAGATGTTTGTCTATCGATGCGGTGCAAAACAAGAATGGAACACACCTGCACTACATTCGGAATAAAGAACATTTTCAGTGGACTGCCATGATTGAATTATTCCAATCCATTCCGAGCTCAGGAAGCTTAAGAGATGCTGATATGGTCATATGTTGCGAGCATTGCGCAGCCATCAAAGTGCACGTGTCGCCTCTGGTCATGTGTCCTGCCTCTGCACCAGCCAGGTTGAAAAAAGCGTCGCAGAAGGCAACGAAGGCAAGGCGAAGACGAAGACTGGCTCCCTGGCACATCGAGACCATTGAGAAGTGAGACTATTCGGACACAGTTTTCACAGTCCACCAGGGTGTCAAGATGTGTCTGTGATGAATTCAAGATAATTCAAGATACCTACACATCTTCTCATCCTTGCTACTGACTTGCTGATGGACCAAATTTCAGGAACATACATATTACATATTACATATATATATATATGTATATAGATATATTATAATTCCCCACATTGACGTGTGGGGTTTTTGTTTTTAGTTCTGTATCCGCCTCCTCCTCCTCCGCCGCCTCCTCCTCCTCGCCCGTTCACTCACTCACTCACTCGCTCGCTCGCTCGCTCGCTCACTCACACTCACTCACACTCACTCACACTCACTCACTCACTCACTCACACTCACTCACTCAGTCACTCACTCGCTCACTCACTCACTCACTCACTCACACACACACTCACTCACACACACACACACTCACTCACTCACTCACTCACGCACGCACGCACGCACGCACGCACGCACGCACTCACTCACTCACTCACTTTCCGCTGGCGTCCCTGGGTCTCCGCCTCTTTTGCGTGGCAGGCGTGGGACAATGTGCACTGCCAAGGGGTCGGATGTACGCCCCAGGGTTCCGCTGGCGTCCCTGGGTCTCCGCCTCTTTTGCGTGGCAGGTGTGGGACAATGTGCACTGTCAAGGGGTCGGATGTACGCCCCGGGGTTCCGCACATTGACGTGTGGGGTTTTTGTTTTGAGTTCTGTATCCGCCTCCTCCTCCGCCGCCTCCTCCTCCTCGCCCGTTCACTCACTCACTCACTCACTCACTCACTCACTCACTCACTCACACTCTCACTCTCACTCTCACTCTCACTCACACTCACACTCTCACTCACACTCTCACTCTCACTCTCACTCTCACTCTCACTCTCACTCTCACTCTCACTCTCACTCTCACACTCACTCTCACTCTCACTCTCACTCACTCTCACTCTCACTCTCACTCACACTCACTCTCACTCTCACTCACTCTCTCACTCACTCACTCACTCACTCACTCACTCACTCACTCACTCACTCACACTCACTCACTCACTCACTCACTCACTCACTCACTCCTCTCACTCACTCACCCCTCTCACTCACTCACCCCTCTCACTCACTCACCCCTCTCACTCACTCACTCACTCACTCACTCACTCACTCACTCACTCACTCACTCACGCACTCACGCACTCACGCACTCACGCACTCACGCACTCACGCACTCACGCACTCACGCACTCACGCACTCACTCACTCACTCACTCAATCCCTCTACTCACTCCCTCACTCCCTCACTCCCTCACTCACTCACTCACTCCCTCATTCACTCACTGACTGTACTTGAACATACATACACACACACACGAACTCACCCACCATCACCGCTCCATCACTCTTATACTTCCTCTTCCCTTCTTGCTTTTGTATGCTCAGCCTAAGTCTAAAGAAGTTGGTAACATGTGGGGTTATCCGATCCTTTAATTATATATTTTTTATATTATAGAATAAGATAGAATATATTCTGTTGTTCGATTCATCGGTTAGACATGAGGTCTGTGCACAAAGAATCATTCTACAAATGATCGCAACTTTTCGTCCACCCTCCCAGCCGCTGAATAGCCGGGAGTGCGAATTTGGAGAAGATTTGCAAGACCTCAAGTGGCAAAGAATCTTGCCGGCGAGAGGTGAGTTCATCGGCTCTTCGTTCCCTCATATTCATCCATTTCTATCATTTTTTATCCATCTTGCAGGATTGTCTTTGGATTTGCCATGAATGCTTTGAGCCAGCGGTACAATTGGCACTAAGAAGGCTTGAAGGCATTCACGGGTGCCTACGAATTCTGTTGACATCGAAAAACATGATCTTATATGATCTTATTAAATCTTAGCATCCAGTATAGCATCGTTGCTGTTGATCCAGGATCCAAACGCTAAAGAATTATTACGGAGAACATACTGGAGTCACATTGTGAAAAATTGTGAAACAGATTCCAAGATTCCAAAATAGGACAATCAAAGAGCAAGACCTCAGAAGAACCCTACCAATACTTACCAAACCTCAGAAATCACTTGCAGGTCTCACTTATTGGCGGGCCCCGCCACAGCCATGAAGCACAGGAAGAGTAGCAGAGAAAAGGCTGGCCCGGCGACACATTCCCGAGGCACATGCGAACAACCCACAAATTTCAGGCAAACCTTCAATGGAACAGGGGACAAACACATGCAAACAAATGCAATGCAACCAGCGAAAGGAACCCCCAAAAATATAAAAATCTAGTTCTAAAAATAAGCTTGAGATATTCATAGATATTCTGTGTTCATCTGGGACTACATGGACAGTTTGAAATCGTGAATCGACTTCAGCAGCATCATCAGCGTCATCATTGAATTGGTCAAAATTGGCAAGAACCCCCTACCGCCCCTGCCTACATTCTTTGCAGGGACAACCAGGACCGTCAGCACCTGGAATCAAATCAATGGCAAGCAATGGTAGTTAAAGGTAATCAAATCAGCAATGTTTCTTTATGTTTCTTTCCACGTTGAGTGAATTTATTCGTAGATTTTTGAGGTATCCCACTCTGTCATACATTGCCTGCAGTGGAGCTTGAAGGAATTGGTCAACTCTCCACTGTCGCAATCATGGGCGGCCAACATCGGGGATCGTTGGGGATCGTTGGGTATCGGAGTTCCTGAATTCAACAGCCACAAAGCATAGATCTGTATGATCTGTGAATCCACACAGCCACACTGGCTACTCTGAAGAGAGTAACGCTGGGCAACTTGTCAGTGAGGTTCTGCGGGGCGAGTTCCAAACGCCAAAGCAAGTGCGTTTCCAACTGCTAGATTGTGCTAAATTGTGCCAAACTGTGCTCAATTATGCTAAACTGCTAAGCTGCTCAAACCTGCTGAATGCCAGAGCATATTGACAGTCAACACAGCAGTCAATACAGCTGTCACAAGGGTCTCCTGGCGTTCGATCAACACACCGAGGTAAAAGATCAACAAAGCCTGGCATTGGATCACGATGATCACGGTTCAAGATGGTTGAAGCCCCAAATGTAGTCCAAATGTGACAATATGTGACAATCACTGATCCCCAAATATCTCATGTCATATGAGTCATATGGTGCAAATATGGTGCAAAGAATGGCAGCTCGAACCGTTCGACGCATTGAACCCCCGCCGAAAAATCGCATGAGATGATCGGACAGTGGTCACATGCAGGTGAGGCCGCAGTGGCCAACAGAATCAACCTCGAGCAGGGCAAGTGCTCCATATATTTTAATATATATATATATATTTTAATATATATATATATATTTTAATATATATATATATATTTTTTAATATATATATATATTATGTATATACAAATACATATATATATATACAGATAATATTTGCTTTTTAATCATCAATAATTTATATTTATTTATATTCTTTATATATTTTTGTACGTTTCTGATTTCAGAATCAGTATCAAACTATACTTGTACTGTCGGCACTGCGCGCCAGGCGGGACTGCTACGATGGTCAGAGCAGAGGGCGACGACGATTCACCTCAGGCAACGACGTTTCCGCAACTGTGTTTCTTTGATAATTTTCAGCCGATTTCAAGGACAACTGAGACATAGAGAGACAATATTCTTGTGATGATTTGATATGATTTGAATCTATGTTTCTCCCATCTGCGCATGATCTCACAATTGTCGCTCTTGTGGCACAGCTGCACCGGCCGAACCTGGCTGACTGTAAAGCACGATGACACCCACGAGAATCTGCGTTCAGCCGAGTTGCGTCTGAGCAATTGCAATCCGTTTGTTTTGCCCTGGTCGTTTGCAGTTTAATCGGTCCCTTGTCCGTCTCAGAAGCTTCGACAACCTTGTCCACACCCAATGCCCAACCCAATTATGATATGTATTATTCATACAAATTAACATAATTAATATATACTTACTATTGTTATATTACATTATTTTGTAATATGTTGTACCTCTTTGAATCTCCAATTCAGCGGCGGATTTGCAAGAGCACACCACAAGCACACCCAGGAAGGTGAGAAGTGAAGTGGCACGCACAACATTCTTCTGCCAAATGAACTCCTTGGATGTGGCGATTTGATGGCAACCGCCAGGTAATTCTCCTTTTTTCTCACATCAAAAATGTGTGTTTCAATTGAATCAGTGGCAATCTTCAAATGTCAGCCCAGAGCTTACAGTAAAGAGGGCATTGTGACTCATTTTAAAACCGGGCATGGGAGATTCTAAATTTTGCCACATGTATTCATCTTCTGAACATTCTGTGCTGGAGGAGTATTTTCCTATACCTGATGTTTGCACTTCATCCATCACTTAGTCGTGGCAACAAAAATAGTAGAGAGATCAACTAATCCGGGTTGTTGTACCTTTTCCTCAATGCTGTTTTATCTCATTTAATACGAGTCCGAGAATGTCAAGGTTCTTCCTATGTGTTTGGAATGGATTGACACCATCGGTGCTGGAAAATGCTGGAAAACTTCTGGACAACATGCCAAATTCTGTCTGAAATTCAACTGCTACGATGTTGCATCGCCAAGTAAGGAAGATTAGCCAAAATATGATCCAAGATGATCCAAGATAGCTAAGAAGATTGGATTGACCAAGATTGGGCATGCTTGGGCATGCTTCAGCCGCCTTAAGCCCTTCTCTACGCCCTCCCAGGCCCTCCCAGCTTGGAGCTATGGCCGACATTCGCCGGGCTCCATGAGCAAACCGCTACCGCATTGCGACAGCTTGGTGCACAAGCTCACAAGGCCAGGCCGGTGGCCATGACCGGTATTGAAATGTATTGAATACCACGTCTGAACGTGCTATAGCTGTGCTATAGTATGCTTTAGTAATCTATCGCACTGATGCAGATCTTCCTGCATCTTCCTGCAGGTTGGTTGTTGAACTGTGACTCAAAAATGAAACCGTGACGCTTTGGCACAGATCCGTGTCATTCTTTGACTTGGTTTGATCTGTTTTGACTTCTCCATGTTTGACATCAGTACGGCTGGCAGCCAGGCCGGAATAGATGTTTCGGATGTCAAATGCAGGCCATCGTCAGCTCTCTCGTGTCCGTATGTATCCGTGGTGTTCGGCACAATTTCTGCGTGCCCAAGAGAAGGAAACGGAGTTCTACAGCAAGTTTGCGTCTTCATAACATTTCATAACAACAGGTTAATAAATTACAATCCCCACTCTAGTTGTGCTGGAACATAATTGTGGAATCAAAGGCGTTCTCCGGAATGATATCCCCGGCTGTGAAATGACATCGACATCGGCAATGTTTTAAACCAATGGCAAGCTACAGTAGCAGAGAATCAACTACTCACGACTATGGACAATGAACTGATGCAAAATGGCATCAGCAACTAGCGACAACTAGCTTTGAACCCTGAGCGACACGAGATCATGTGGATCAAGCAAAAGTCGGAGAAACCAAACTGACTTTCAATTATCCTTCAAATGAACTTCATCAAATAGCACGAACTGTTCTGAAAATTCGAGCCCAACCGCAGTGGATCCACACTCTGTCCGAGGAATTCCACTCTCACAGCGTCAGCCAGACTGCACATCGTCGCAAGATCAAACAGTTCGCACATCGCTGCATTTTGGCTGTGCTCCCGCTGTACTCCCTGTATGACTTCGACTTCATTTGGGCAACACGACACTGTGATACTTTCACATTCTGCCATGGAAATGGCGCCAAACTGGCTAGACACATTCACAACCTCTACTCGTTCTAGTCATTCTAGCACGTATATTCTACTGTTGTTTGCTAAGTAGCTCTGAATAATCTCTGAATGTGTTGACAGCTCACAAGCAATAAGGCTAGTGGGTGGCACACATGCTTGCAGCATCTTTTTTTTTGGCTCTGTGCGTGCCACGAAGTCGACCTTGAGGAAGAGGGTCTGGTGAAACACAGAGAGCTGGGTCTCTGTTCACTTCTGCACCTTTGCCCTTGCCTTTGGCTTTGTCTCGCTGGAACTGTTGCTCGAGTTGTGCTGGGTTGCATCTGGACGTGTCTAAGAGTGCTTGGACGATGCGGTCCCGTTCTTTCTCTGCGTAGGTTTCGCGAGTCTTCAGGTCACAGGTGAAATTGGCTCTCGCAAAGCCCTGCTGGATACAGTTCTGGTGGGCGCAACCTTCCAAGACCATGGCTTGACGCTGGTTGGCACAAAGCACGACACAGTGCCCAGCTATCAGACGAGTTCCCTCAGGAAAGCTGTCTCCATAGGTCATCACCCTCCCTGAACTACAAACGCAGTCTGGCCATTGCGAGGCACCCAGCTTGATGAGGGTCGTGTTGCCTAGCTTCAATGCTAGAACGTGCACTGTTCCAGAACCTCTCGACTCAAGGAGGCTACACGTATAGCTGCAGCTGATGCACCAAGGCTCCCAGCCGCAGCTGCTGAAACGACATCTTGACAGCGTACTTGATCCATCTTGAGTCCATGGAGGGTCCACGGCTGATTGTCTGGCACGTCTTCGCCGGGCATCTGAGAGAGCCAATTTGGCTTCTCCATCGCTGGACACCACAAGGACGCACGGGAAGCCCTTCGGAGGAACACACGTCTGAACGCGGTGTGCAGATGCTTTTCTTATGTGGATTGTGGGAAACATAAAGATGATACTTGCATACTAAAGATGCTGACGAGGCGCTTGCGAGGCCAACTCATACGGATCACCACCTGCGTGGTGCTTCCAGTACTGGCATTGCGTTGCTGCATCAGCTTCCAGTACTTCATCAGCTTCAAGCGGCTAGAGCTGGAGAAAAGCTCTCTCGATACGGCGCCAAGTCACCAGCTGTGTGGCGGTAATTGACGCCTTTTTCCGCCCTTTTGCGGGCGATGCTCTTCAGAAGCCACCTCGAGAGCTTGAACAGGGACGGCTAGCTCTCGTCATCATCTGCGCGTTCAGCTCTGGAATTGGGCTGTCTGAATGTTCTCGCTCTGCAGATCCAAGCATCTGTGAGGCTGCTGTACCATCTTGTTCCACAGCTCTGTGGATCTGTGAGGCTGACGGTGATGCAGGAAGAGGACTAGCTACTTGAACCACTCTCATGGTGGCACTCAAAATCTATCACCTTTTCATCTTCAGAGTCACAAACAGCTACAAAATCAATTGGCCAATGAAAGTATATATGATGCGACGTGGCTGCTTTACCACTCTCTTCACCACATACTTGACTCACCGACGAATATCAACATATTCTCCGAAAGTGAGCCTGGGCTCCGTGTGTATCTGCACCTGACAGTTTGAACGGCAAAGACTTCAATCTGAACAAAATGAAGCATCAACAGATATCAACAGTATTATCACACACACAATATGGAAGAAGTGTATAAAATATGTTTCTACTTCTAATTGTTTCTATATCCGTACATGTTTGAACAATCTGATATTATTTATTATTGATAATGGCTTTAGGTATATTAATCAATGCATAGTCATTGCATAATCACCACGGTAGTCACTTTGGATCACAGACTACTGAAACAAGCGAATCTCCCATGACCTCATAACCATTCCTTGCTAAGGTTATCTGAAATCGACGTCCTATCCGGACCAGATTGACCAGGATTGACCAGGCCTTCCGTAATGGAGTTGAAGATTTGCTCCAAAGTTGCTTGTGACAGTGTGTACCTGACCAACCCATATCGACGAAAGCTGCTAAGGCAGCAGGACATACACAACGGCAAGTCTCCTTGAGCCAATTCATTTTGACAGTGACACTCCTGAAGTCCATTCTATCATTTCTATCTTGATTCTTCCTGGAAACACAAGTAATATAAATCACAACAACCAAATCATTCGGTACCCAAATCAAACGAATTTCAGCTCTACAATTGTTTGGAGTTGGAGACTATTCAACACCTATAGCCATATCAAACCGTCCTCAAGTTGACTTGGGTCACTCGGCTACTCCGAAATTCTCAGCGTTGTCCTGCGCATGGCAAAGCATTTTCTGAATTCTTGGGCGAAAATGTTGGGCTTTTCTGATCGGTTGATGTCCCAAACTTGGGATCTTTCGTCCAAAGACACAGAAATGGCTCCTCCAGCTGTTGGAAGAGCTGGGGTATGCTCAAGCCACTTCGTGGTAAGCGAAACCTCCCGGCAGCGATCCGATCTGGATCCGGTTACCATTTAAATGAGTTTATCTGAACATATTTGAACATATTTGAACTAGGATGTGTTCAAATGTTTTCAAATAGCATGGTGAAATGTGCTCAAAAAGTCATAAAAATATGTTCCATGTCACTTTGATCATTTTCTTTGCGAGTTCTCCTTGAGTGTCTGTCATCGAGTACCTCCAGTAAATGCCAAAGTCCTCCGCCAACTCTACACGATCACCTGGAGATAGATACGGCAGTGACGTGGCTGAATGCTTGACACTCCCAGCATAAACCAAGCGACATGAGCACTTCAAGCCACTCTACGCTGAGGCTAGCTGCAGTCTTGCTCGGAATGACGACAGAATGTTTGCCAATCAATCATGAATCAATTTTAACACGAACATTTCTATATACATATATTATATCCAAAAAGGGCAGGCCAGGCAAGGCAAGATCGCTCAAACGAGATTCCCGAAACAGAAATCCAAAGTCGATTCAGTATACAGGTTTCATCAGGACATCGTATCACAGACTGCCTCCAACTTTAAAAACATCATCCGCAACTGTAACATTACATAACATTACATAACATTACTAATTATTAACATTTGGCTGTCTGCGGCCTAGATTTTGTTCTCCGTTGTTTAACATGCTTGACAAAGTGTGAATTTTGAATAACTTATTATCTGCAGAAACTTGTCGCACAACTCGTCCTGGTGAATCGTGTTCCCCTGGCCTAGTAAGTTCGACAAAAACTTCTCCACCTTCTCGCCATTAGCCTCTGTCACTGGTGTTTCACATCGAGAACTGTGGCCGACTGTAGCGACTGTGCAACTGTAGGGAGCGATTTCGCACAAGCCCACGAGGTCCCACACAAGTGTCACGAATGTCACGAAATGTCAGTTTCAAGCCTGTTGCAAGAACCATTCTGCTAAAACAGAAGATTCGACCACTCCACTCTGTTCGAGTTGAAGCCGCACCTTGGTCCGGATCATTGCTTCATTGCTTCATTTGGAATGTCGCAAACACGTCCATGGTTGATTTTGTTGCGAGATTGGTTGAACTTCTCATCTCTTAGATCCTCTTAGCAAAAGATCTGGCACTCTAGTCGCATGACGTGCGCGTGGCTCACTCAGCAAGGTTTCCACAATTTCCCACAGCGATCTTTAACAGCAATCTTTAATATACGTACGTATGTCTAATATTGTCTAATGTTCATCCAACTTTAATATGTTTACCATGTATATTCCATGTATATTCCATGTATATTCCATGTATCCAACTGAATCCAACATTTCCATGGCCATGGCCGAAGTACACTCAGGCTTTGACGATGCAGCGCGGTCTCGCAAATGCCGCCCTGGGAGGGCCGTCTCGCTGTCTGAAAATGTCCGAAATTTCATAAGGTTCCCAAGAAATCCTCACTCAGTGCATCTCAGTGCATCTCAGTGTAGGGAAAGTCATGGAATGCCACAGGAGTCAATGATCACATTGGCTCTAGAAATTCTGGAATCTGCTTTCTAGCGTGCGAGGAACAAAGTACCCGTCGATGGATCTCTGAGTTTCAAATTTAAAATGATTGTAGTGTTCAATCTAACGGCATCTGCTAGATTGATTTTCCCACGGGACGATTTTCCCACGGGAATGCGTTGATCGACTTGCAGTCAGACTTGAACTTCTTCTGGGCTTTGCATGGTCGCTGCTAAAACTCCACCGTTGGGCCTCTTCCAGGCATCGGATTCCAAGATTTTTCCAACAGCCGCAGAGTCCAGTTGTGCTGGCCATTGACGCCTAAGACACAGCGACGCAGCGTCGACTGCATCGACGTCAACAGTCGTGTGGCACCATGATCAACCAATGTCGCTGAGGGATGTCTCTTGGATTGCGATCTGAACTATCGAGTACTATCGAGCAAAACCGCACCTGCTCCCCTCCTCGTCTTTCAATATCATGTCACAAAGGTAAACTCAGCTTGCCATTAGACATCAGTAGACTAAACTCAGTGATCCAGCTGCACCAATCATGACTCTCTAAAGGAGTGAACTTGGATTCCGAACGTCATGTTGCTCAACGCTTCCTACAACATGTGATGGAAATGCTTCCGGATTCCATTTGAATGTGTTACTGAACGGTTTGTCATTTGACAACCCGTGTAACCACATCACAAAACCAAAGATCACATGCAGTCAACGCTCTATGTATCCTCTCCACTTTGAGTGAATCACCAAGTGTCAATTTCAAAAAAGTCACAGATGTTTTGCATAATTATCTACTATATATATATATTTGTTCGTAACATTTTGCAACATGTTTTACTGTTCGATTCTTTTTTTGCATTTTTGGACGGCGACCGGTCCTCGGTTTCAGGACGTAGTCGCAACATCAACTCATGGCAGCTGCCATGTTTGGCTTTGATCTGTTGCGCAGTGCCCACCTGAGTACCGGTTCATTCGAAAAGCTATACCATATGTTGCAAGAAGCTCTTCTGAAATGTAACATCTGACATCATCTGACATGCTTGCTCAAGCTATTGAGATTGCTTCACAGGACCGTGTGTAATGGAAGGTTATACTGACAATGAGCGCAACGAGCAAGGATACCTTCTTTTCAGTATGACGTCATAAGAGGTCTCTAGTCAATCCTACTGAATAGTCGGACCATTTCCAATGCGAACCACAGAAGCCAGAACCAGAAAGGTACAAACGGGTTCGGACATGTTCCGACAATGCTCAGCAAAAGCATCAACGCCCTTGGAGGCTTTCCCTCATCCAAAAGCCATGGCCATGATTTAGTGAATTAGGACTCCTGGGACGCCGAGCTGTCAAAAGTTGACCGTTTGCCATGATCCCCAGTCGGTTCGACAATGCCTCTGCAAGGTCATGCAAGGTCATGCAAGGTCATGCAAGGTCTCAAGAAATGATACATTGCTACACCGCAATGAAAAACACATCTCTTGCACAACGATCTCAATTTGAAACACAATCGAGTTCAATCTCCAAGGTGAACACAACATGTCCATACACTTCCACTATGTATCACTATGTCCTACACGGTACATGCCTCTGCTTCTTCCATTGAATGGGTCGTCAAAAGCACCGCCGATGCCCCAGCACTGCGAAAGCAAAGAGAATTCACAGCATTGCAGAACGACTGGCAACTGACTACCCAACGCAAAGGGAACGAAATTCGATATGGTCAATACTCACACCTTCCAGTCATGGAAAAAAAGACGTAATACGTGCGCGGGTTTGGAAAATTTCAGCCAACATCGCATGACTTTTTCAACGCGGCTACTGCAAAGGTCTGTCTTCCCTTCAAGACGAGTCATCTTCGCGTCTGCGTTTGCGTGTCTCCTGCATGGTCAAGCCATGTGAAACCCAAGCACTATCAGGAGAAATGTCAACACAAGACTGATATGCCAGCACCGCCCCGCAAACATGTCAAGCAAGGCACGAGTCGCAGAATCTGTGCAAACCTGTGCTGTGCCGACACTGAGAAACTCTATGAAACTCCCGAATTGTAAATACTTCGAGAGCTAATTTGTTCTCCTTGGTCGTCTTTCGACCTGGCCACGCTCACAAAGCGTGAAACAGAATGCCAACAAAACGCAGAGAATCACAACAAGGCTCCACAACAAGGCTCAAACAAGTTCAAGTATTGGTTGAAAATGCATAAACGGACAAATGAAGGTGGGACGAGCTAGAAAATGATGCTCACAAACATAATGTAGCCATGGTAACCTAGCCAAGTATGTATCACAAAAAAAAAGACGCCTGCAGTGAATCAAGGCTTCTCTTGCCTACTCAAAGCACTACAGCTCATTAGATTTCAACATTTTGGGGAACCTCCTCACACGACTCCTGGCCGCCAGCCTTGCTCCTCACTGTCCTTTTTCCTTCTCACCTTCACCTTTCACCGTTGAGCCCGTTGAGCCGGTTGAGCCCCTAACCCGTGACGGGATGTGACGGGATATGACATCAAGCCTTAATTTCCCCCCTCAGTGCATCGCTGCAGCGAGACTGAATCTAAGTCGATTGTGCGAAACACAACAACTTTGTTTTTTCGTCCTTTCATCGGCCCATGACCTTACCCAATCTTTCCCCGCACAAAGCACCTTCTTTCTCTTGCCGCTTCCTCGGTGTCGAACGTATCAACAGGCCTGTTGATCATGATTAATAATATCTCATAAGCTCTTGGTACAAGGTTTGGAACAAGATGCACTCAGTAACCAGTGGCAACCAGTGTTGGATGATCGTAACCTGGCAGTACTTGATCATCAGTCATGTACATGGGCATGAGTTGGTGTAATTCGGCGCATTTTCGGTACCATGATGGTGGGATGCACATCTTGGTACTTCATCATGCATCTTAATGAATTCTTAACGCCACTGAAGTCCAAGGTTTACAACGTAAATATTTTGAATGTAAATTACCGTTGCAAGGCTTGTAGTGTGGTGACTGCCATGTTTTTGCTTGTTCCAACCGAATCACACCAAAGACTTCAAGAGACATACATAAACAATCATAGACATACACAACTGAAGTCATTCAAAAGACACAAACGGTATACCTCTCAGAAGATCTCAGAAGCAAATCTCAACCCCGTGCTTCAACACATCCAATCCTTTCAGCCACTTCCACCACATTACGCCACCAGTGCTTTCAAGTTGCCAGACTCGTCCGAAGCAGCCTGCTTGTGTCAAACAGTGCACCGGGTATAGGCTATACCAGCCATGAGTGTGGATCTTCACCAGAAACCACACTAGTCGAGCTTCACCAGCATAATTGGCAAATGTATTGAATTGTACTGCAGTAGTCAGTGCAGTGGAGACAAAAGAAAGCTGACTGCGGATGTAGGAGTTTTTAAACCTGGGACGCCCACAAAGAGGGCGGCGTACAAAACTATACAAAATATACAAGGAGAAAACACCCACGCTGTATCATGGGAAGCTGATGCAAAAAGAACAAATACCCAGGGCTACCCAGAATGTCTTTGAAGTTCCCAGCATCTGAACACTTGATTACTTCGCGGTTCTCACAGCAAATCCCTCACTTCACATGTAGCATGAAACTGCAACATCTGCAACTTCTTACAACAGAACCATGGTTGATTTTGCCAGCTTCGGTGTGCCTTCTTTCCCTTCTTGGTTCTGGATTTGAACTCGTCAGAATCCATGTCTGAGAAATCCTGTGGAGGCGTTCGATCCCTCTCCGCCTGGCAGAGTACGACCAACATGGAAAGCTGTGACCAAGTTGTGTCCTGAGACTCCTGAGAAAATTTGATAAACCACAATTGCGGATGTTTTTAAGATGCACCATTTCAGGGATTCTGAGTTGCAAAATGGCCTCCAAAGGTCACATCTTCACAAAAAACATCTTGGTATTGTTATGTATATATTGATTTGATTGTGTGACTGCGCGTGATATTGTCTCTTTCTTGCACGTCTTCCTCGTCCAACTAATTACCACTATTTACCAAAGCTGGTAGCCCTGTCTTGTCTCCTAATCTCCTGTGCCTGTGAAGTACCTTGATGCAACACCTTCTTCAACACCTTCTTGAGATTTTGGACAATTTTGGAGGTAAAAACCAAGGTCTGGCCGCACGAAGCGCCTTCTTCTTTTTGCCCTTCGGCTTGGCGTCTTCTGGCGCCGCAAATCATTCGGGGAATTCATGGGGAATTGAAGGAGGACGGACAAGGGAACAGCATGGAACAGCAAGGCTCACACCTTTGCTTTACAGACTTTGAATTGACAGATGTCAGGATTGATGTCTCAAACACATTCACGCAGCCTTGCTCAATCAAAGAAAGCTGACTGAAAACCCATACTTCCTCTTGGTATCTCTTGTTGTAGCTTCAGGGTAGTGATAACTCAGATTTGTACTCAATCTGCTTGTGCCCAAGGCTTCTGTCAGACTTGTGTCCGGTGCAGCGCCTGAAAGATCTGAAAAGTCTTGAGCCTCCTTCTCCTACAGACAGGTTGTAGTGCTGCAGCTCTGAACAGGGTGAGAACCCCCGAAAGTTCCATAAGAATGGCAATTTGCTATTCAATTGCAAGGTTTTTGTCTGGATGTCTTCATGTTCGGGTGACGCTGGTCTGGTTATGTCTTTGCAGTACCCAGTACTATCCGAAAAGGAAGTCTTGAAGACATGGTTAACATGCTTTGCCTGCAAACATCCGTGTTTTGTTCCTGTGCATAGATTGAAGAAGAGACTCTCACGTCACCATCCATGCCAGAGCATCCAGAAACAGTTTTAAGCACCTTTAGCTTATTGCTATGTACCTTTGCCAAACGGGAGTGGGAGTTCTTTCTTGGGTGAGTTTTTGCTGGACATCCTTCGGCTTCTTCTTCGACTTTTTCTTGTCACCTAGCATTTTCTGACAGGATTCATCAGGATGTGGTACAGTTCTTGTCTCTAGTCTCACCAGATGTAATCTTGAGCAGGATTAGTCCTCTGCAATGATCAGATAGCACGCAAGAGCTATGAAGTGACATGAAGTGACCAACAGGAATGCCAGCCGGAACCTGGATCCATGATCCATCTGGATCCTCTTTTGTCATGCGAAACAGCCGTCAGTGCTCCCGCTCGCAGTTCAGCACTCGTGGTACTGCAGCTGTGGCGTCGCTCCTAACTTTGGCCTCTGCACTTTTCACAAGAACCGCTGGCTTGTTGAGAACACTTTTGCATAAAGTGAGTGGCCTCTTGATGCATAATCTACAGGACACCTTTGATCAGCATACATATGCTGCATATGATATGCTGCATATGCAGCATAATTCTGATGACGTAGTATACTGACATACGCAAACAGTCGTATAGACATACTAGAAGTATTTAGCCGTATCCGCTCTCTTTAGCTTTATGGGTAAAGACATGTATAGACGCTTTCAGGTGGCCTATGGCGGCCTAGCAACTGATTTGAGGGATTTTGAATAATTTTGAGGGTCTCTGTGGACACATCTGCAATATTCCGCAATACTCTGCACTGCGAGGTGAAAGCGCTCCCAGCGATTGGCACCGTCTCAGATCTGTTTGCTGTGGAAAGGCTGTCTCGTGGACAGTCGTGGACAGGTGGACAGCTCGCTGGGTGCAGATCCATGACAGATGCACTGTTGGACCTGGTGAAACACCATGAAACTCGTGCGCTTTTTCAGCTCCTACTGTTCTCCATCAGCAGACTTTGGGATGGACTGTGATTCCCAAGGAAAACATGACATGGCAAACCAAAGTCCTTCTAGTCCTGGAAGAATCCCATTTAACAGCGAGACTTATCAAGCTTTGTCCGTTCAAATCCGTTCAACTATGTTCAAGTGCACAGAATTGCGAATAGGTTGCGAATAGGTTGTGACATGTCGAGATCTGCCAATGTCACAGGTGAAATGAGTGAAATGACCCACTGGTTCTTTTACTGCACTGCCACCACTGGTTGGCTCAGGGATCCTCAGGATCTTCACCTGGAAAGGACGCGAGGTGAGGGACTCATTTGGGGCCCAGGATCAGCCCAGGGTTCGAAAAGACTTTTGGGCTTTTGCTAAGCCAATCTGAGCCAACGCATCAAACAAAGGAACAAACAAAGCGACATCTGAAACAAGTCGTAGCATGTCGTAGCCATGTGTTCCAACCAGTGGAAAATATTGTCAATATTTGATCATATTTGATCATATTTGCCTTTTCCCTGCAACATCAGCAGTGCTTTTGCCTCCACTCAACTTTGGCGAGTGCAGGTTTGGCATGCTCGCCTCAAGATTTTGACCAGTTCGTGAAATCATGATGAAGGCACGGCAAAACAACACTGGGCTTGAAGGTGTTCTTGATGTTGATGGACCAAATGCAAGGGTCACAGCATGCTTTTAAAGTTGCGTCCAAGGAGCACTCATGCCTTCACGCTCCTTTGCATATTTGTTGCGGCGCAACTCAATGCTTCGCTTCATTGACTGCAGCCGTGTCGCAGATGGCGTGGGCAAAAGGACTCGAATACAGTGTCAGTGCAATATATTATTATATATATATACTGACAATATTATATAATATAAATGTAGAAAATTGTATAAAGTGCAATATGATGATATATAATGTATCTAGTGCAATACTGTGCAATGAGAATCCGGAAATATCTGGAAGAATCTGGAAGATCTTTAACCAAGTAGTTGGTGCCGAGGAAGTTGTTCCAGGCCAATAAGTTGGACTGTGAAATGCCTTGAGATTGGACAAGACCCAGGGTGCAGGTTAAGGCCAGCAACTTTTCCAGCCAGTGCCATGCCATGATTTTCTAACATGATCCATGCACTATGCACTGCGCTATGTGTGCTATGTGCGCCATGCACCTCCCTCTTTCGATGATCTTCATCTCGGATTCGCATGATGTCATCATCATATTCTCCTGCCATGCGCATGGAGTGGGAAGCGTTGATGACCTCAGCTGGTCCCAGCTCCCACTGATGTCACACAGCGATGTCACACCGAACTTCACGGAACGCGAACGCCGCTGGGGTCACCGACATAGCGCTTCCGGATTCGATCCCATCTCATCATATCTGAGGTCCTCTGACTCGAAACGCACCAAGGAACTGAGTCCATTGGCTCCATTGGGTCCGTTGCGTCCGTTATGTTCAAGGGGCAGCATATCAGTTCCATTCAATTCCCTTCCAGGTCCATTGGGGTCTGCAAACGGACTGAGTCCTCACCACAGGTTGACAGGTTTCAATGTTCTGCAAGAGCTGATGGTTCTCTTTCATAATGCGATAAATCTCCTGTGCAAAGCAGGGATCAACAGGGTGATAAACACGCCAGGATGGAAGTCCCTCAATCTCATCAATTCACCTAAAAGCTTTCCCCCGGTTGGGTCAATAGAGTCTATCCACATGCAAACACAGGGTTTTGACTAGTCGTCCCAATCGAGACAGGTCGGTTGACTTGCAACAAGTCAAATTATATATTAGACAGCCAACATCAATGCATGATCTTCTCATTGGCTCAACCCTGAAACTTTTCCCATCGACATAAAACATCATCTTAAAAAGCGACGAGAACAACATCCGGACCTATCTGGACTTTGTCATCTGACATCTGACTCAACAGAAATTGCTTTGTGCTATTAATGCCTCATGACTTAGATGTTCTATTAATGTATTAATTAATGTTCACTTACATATCATGTATATTAATGTTTTTTTATTGTTCTATTATATGGCTATTAAATATGGATTCATATGGCATCAACGGATCTCGACAGGGGATGGCAGTAAATCAACCGGCCTAAGTGCGCTTAGCAGATAAACATGCAACTGAATATCGTTTTAATGTACCTCTGCTCATATATATATACACACTCATATTAATTAACTCCTATTACAATAGCTAAAGCTGCTTATAGAATTTTAATGCATTTTATAGAGCCTATAAACGTTTTGAGTATTACTACTTTTCATCGTGAGTCGGACAACGCTTCTCAGAAGTCACTCCTGCTTACGGCCGTCAGCATTGAGACTGACAGGCCCTTTCCTGCCGCAGGACCAGCTTGACCCGGGCCCCAGGAGAAATCAGTTGCATCATAGTTCACGAATCTTCAATCAGTTGCAACTTGAATAATTATGGTTTTGGGTGAGACAAGGGATGGCCAGAGGCTACATAACTGATCATAACTGCAGAAAATGACAAGGTGTATAGTTTGCCTCAAAGTGGGGAGACCGGGGTACCCCCAGATTGGCAATTTCAATGCGGAAACTGATAGGCCAGGGCTTTCTTGGGGGTTACAACGGTTACAAATTTTGAGACTACCTGAAATGTCACTTTTGAGTGTGGAGTTGTCAAACTGGCGCATATTGGCCGCTTATACCATGGTGCAATGGTGGACGTATGGCGATGATGATGGGTCTCTCCTTTGAGGGATCTTGCTATCTCTCGTCATGATCTTTGCGATCGACTGAATCATTTTGAGATCACCTTAATCAGCTGCCGGGGGATGATGCAAAACGAAACTGGAGAGTCCTGGGTCAAAAGCCTGGAACAACTTTGGAGTTTCGTCAGCAACACTTACATCGAAGCATCCTGATCCTAGGCAGTTCCACGAATCTTTACTATTCTTTACTGCAAAAGCAGTTGATTCGCCGTGTCATGCCGTGTCACTAAAAGCTGCTTCGGTGGTTGCTCGCTTCTTCGCGGCATAGTCTCGACCGTAGAGCTGCAGATGAGGCATCGGTGCCTAAGTGGAACAAGAGGGCATTACACCAATGACACCAATGCGAAGCAGCAAATAAGATTATATACTTGATTAAACAAGAACCGTCAAGAAAAATACCAGACTCAGACCGGGAAGCTAAACCGGGAAGAGCTGCCGTTCAACACGCTGTATTTTTTGTCTTCCGGAAAAAACCTTCTCAACTCATCGACACTGGATCTCCCTGATGCGTTTTGAAAAATCCTTATCTTTCACTTTCTTTCCGCTGAACACGTCCTGCTTTCTGCTGCTCCTATCCTTTTAAGGCTGGTCTTACAAATAAGTGTCACGTAGCCTTCAAAACAGAAACACAGATGACTAGATGTCAACATCAACTGGAAAAGCAGCTTCAAATGATCCTATTGTACAATCTCGCCTGGTTTCCGCTCGAAACCGGATGCACTTTCTGCTTGAAACCGCAAAATCCAAGAAACTGGAGCGCTGGTGTCGAGCGCAGAGCGCATGTTTTCCAGACGCTGCCGGTGCATGAGGTGCGTCCTGGAAACGGAGACAGTCACATGTCGCAACCATTCTGCGTGGCATCTTGGATGAGAAACGAAAGCGCTCAAGGCGTGTCCGGACATCCGGACATTGAACTCTGTCATTGTGGCAATTTGTTGTGACTGTTTAGTACAGCAACGCCCTACAGTTGAAACCTGAAATTCAATCTTCTCCTTTCAGCAGAATCTGCGCAAGAATCCAACAAGATCCAAGCAAAATCAGGCGAACTTCCCGAACATCCAAACAATTTCAAACACGTCTTAATTTTTTGATCATCTCCAAAGATTCCAAAGCTCCTCATGTGCTCTCGTCGCCCTATTGCTGGACAGCCATGTGTGGTGTCAGTTCGACGGTTCATGGCACCTCAGGGACATCACAGTGTGTCTCCATTGTCTCCACTGTCTCCATCACATGATGATGATATAAATTGATATAAATTGATGTAATGATGCCATGCCATGCCATGCAATGCCAGTGGCAACTTGCTAAGTTTTAATGGTCTTCTGGCTTTCCAAGGAATGATCAACGGAGATCCTTCTTGTGGTCTACGTTTGGCAATTGAGTGTGGCTAAGTGTAGCTTTGTGTGGCTGATGGTGGACAGAAGGACAACCTTGTCGTTGCTTCAAAAGTTGGACCTGGGAGATCTACAATTTTGAACCATTGCCTTCCACTTTCTATGACAATATTCGCGGGATGCACTGACAAGATTAGACAAGCAAAAGAGTCACTAACCGTAACATGTAATGGTTCAAGGTCTAAAGTGCCTAAAAATGCCAAAAGTGCGTAAAGTGCATCAGTGGATTTTAGTTGATTTTAGCTCCTTCAGGCAGCACAAATCAAAACTGGATCTGCCAAGTTTCTACAGCAAGGCGAGTGACACAGACTTGCCTCTTGAGAGGTGAGGATTCCAATTGGGAAAAAGCAAAAAAGGCAAAAAATCGTTCGGCTGAGTAACCTGTGTGGCTTTTGTGATTCCAATGTGATGGAGTATGAATGAAATCTCTGCTGACATGTCTGATTGAACTTACACTGTAGATCTTCTCGAGCCCAAAAACAGGCATACATGGCCATGAACATGGTCAAATCATTCAGGCAAAAGGATGCAACATCTTAATCCCATTCACATCATTCACAGTCCATAGTCCAATGAGTGATGAAACCAAAGCCATGCTGGGAATCAGGCCGGAGGCATCTGACCTGGCGGAAGCGGATGAACTCAAATATATGCAGAAGATTGCAGAAGAGGAAACAATGGCAAGATATTACAGGCATATTTCGAACTGCATATCCTGCCATTGGCCTTGCAATGGTTCTGAGACGAACATAATAGCAATTTCTGCTGATTCATTCATGTATCCCATTATTATCCCATGGTATTCCTCTTTGTTGTTTGTCCAGCCTTTCTTTCTCCTTGTCTTCCTTCTTGGACTTCTTTTTCCTGTGTCGGTCATCTCCAATCCAAACCTAAGCACCAAATGACAACAAAACACCGTGACTCACACCGTGACTCACACCCTTCAAATGTCCAAATGTCCAAATGTCCGTTTGTCTTTGGAGATGCTGAGATCTGAGGGAACTGCATAGAAGACCTTTTGGATCGTACACCTTCGTTCATCTAAAGACCACTCCTCGCAAGCCGATCTCACGCTTCAAAGATGGAAAAACAGCTGCCCTGTCAAGTTGGAGCTGCACTTGATGGAAGTCTTTTTTGCTGAAGCAGGCCCTTTTCTGGCCCAGTCCACGGCAAGATTGACGGGGTCTTTATTCAAATTCACAAGTTATAGGTCTGCGATCTGTGGTCAACATATGTCAACATCACCAAATGTCATGCTTCTGCAGTCAATTGATGTCAAGTCTTTCAGAGAGAATGCGTGGTTTTCTTGCAATTGCACTTTGGTCTGCTGATCTGCCTCTATCCATAACAGCTCTTCCTGTCCTGTGATTTCCAATCCTTTAAGCCCTCTGGAGTTGAAATTTTCTGCTCAATGACGAACTTGGCAAACCTCCAAGATCGAAAAACAGAAGCGGCTGACGAAGCTGCACAAAATTATACAATTCATTATAATTCATGAAGGTTCTACATGCAAATTAGGTTGACCTAATTTGATCAATGTGCAACTCAGTCTCTTCCGGGAAACCGGCGAAAAAAAACACTAGGGCGCCGACATACAACGCGCTTTGGCGGCAACATCATCTGGTGCTTGCTCGAATTCGATCTGGGGCAGACTGGGACTGACTTCATCTGACTTCACACAGCGGGAGAATCAAAGGTATCGTCTCAAGATTCGATCCATCCTGCAGGTCCTGATAGGTCCTGATAGGTCCTGTATGATTGTTTAAGACATTTTTCAAGACTCTTCAAGATGTTTCTGTTCTGTTCCTTCGATTTTTGCATCTGTGAGAGCAAAGATGGCCTCTACGACTGTGGTTCCCTCAGGCAAGTTGTGCGATTGCACCTTTGCACAGGGCTTGAAAACTTTAAAATGCTCAACCTTCAAAGCTTGGAAGACTCGGAAGAACCTGCAACTGATGCTCCCTGGGCTCCCTGAGGTGTGAGCTGATTGAAAGTACTGGTCGTTGGTGCACCTTGCCAACTGTACTGGGCGGTGCCGTAAATATCCTTCGATTCCAATTGATTCATGTGCGAATGATAAGAATGGATGTTGTTTCTGGTAGTTTCTTTGTTAGAAAGTACCGTCAGCTCTAAATGTAGTAATTAAATGTAGTTGACACAGTTCAGCCCAAATCAGCCTTTCCACTGTAAACAACATGAGCGCAAACAAGCCATATTATGAGCCACAGAGAATAATGCAAGCCAAACCTACTGGTCAGCAAGTCAAGCGTGTTTGACTGTTCGACCTACTCAGTCCTACTCAGTATCTCTCAGGTTGGGACTTCACTAAAAGAATGTGTCCACCTTTGTTGCCCTCGCTGATGGCTTTCAAATCCTTGGATAGCCTCGGTGTAGGCTGTCAAGGGCTATCACGTCCATACGCATCATACGTCAAATGCATCGTCGTCATCATCTGCCAAGATGCTGCTTGGTGATGGAGTCACCCCAGAATTCTGTCAAGTACAAACCTACGCCACGGTGCCAATTGTACAATTTCGTTGCCATCCGAACTGTCCAAATTGTCACTCGGTGCCTACTACATTACTACATATTACTACATTTCCTTTGTTACTCTGTTTTCTGCGTACCCAAAGGTGAAGTGACGCGCACCTTTCTTGGTCTTGATCTTGGCATTCATGGGAATATCCCTGACAGGCTTCACATCATCGTAGGGACGACAAACCCCATAGAGGCCTGGGCAAAATGGGACATGAAGGAACGACAGCTTCATGCAGGGTGCACGTCGATTTCTTGACAGCAAGCGAACAAATTTGACTATACAATCATAGCAAGTGACAGCGATCGAAGTCCGAACTGGCCAAAAATGCAAAGAGGAGAAACATGAACACAGGTACTGAACACAGGAACTGAGTCATTTTGAGTAGTATGACTTCACTGCCCTCAGCAATAAACGCAACACTTCGAACACTTTAGCATCCAATAATTGCTTCCTTGCTTTAATTCATTCACATGTGTCATTCCTTTCTTGCCATTTTGTGTCACTTCCCTTAAGCCTTCACTCGCATTGGCAAAACTTTCGAATACTTTCGATACGGTGCCATGTTTCAAAGCTGGAATCCCAACCTGACAAGATCCGCAAGTGCTTGTCAGCGTACTTCCGATTCTCCTAACTCTGCCAGTTGAAAAAGGATTGAAAAGATCTCAGCATCTCTCAGCGAACAATGTTGAGCACAAACTGATCTCAAAACGTGTCTGCGAAATCCCCCGGTTACAGGCTGCACTTCAGAAATCTTCAGAATATAATCATATACAAACACACCTCCGAAGCATTCACATGACCATCATCAATGTATTTTCGAGACTTGATCTTATGATCTTATCATATCTTACTGATATCTGATATCTTACCAATATCTCACCCTTTGCCTTACGGTTTCCTCACTGTTTCTTAGAGTCTTACGAGGCCACTCTAATCCCGTCCTCGCTCCAATCCTCTGCACCAACATCCGCTGCCAGGGCCAAAACAGCCTCTGTCGATTCAAGTTTAAATTCGTAAGAATCTTAAGTTTAAAATGTTCAAAGATGTTCAAAGTTAAAGGACTGATGCACAACACAGGCACAAGGTGCTCATGACCGCTTGTTGAAAGTGAACATAATTAGTCTGAAATTATTGAACTCAAAACATGTCATTCACTTTGCCTCCTTTTGCCCTGCAGTACCACATGAATGCTTACGTATCCATGACCATTCTGATCCATTCTGGTTCCATGGCTCGAGTATGCTCGAGTAGTCTGCTAGAAAGTGTTCAAACATCCGACCCACACTGATACAACTGTTGGTCAACTCAGAGATGTCGAATCGAAGTGTTCCAAAGTTTCATATGTTTCATACTTCGCAGATGAACATAGGTCACTGCAGTGGATCAGCATGTATCAGCGCATGCCAGTGTGACGCATGGCCTGCTTTGGTGGAAGTTTTTCGAAGGTCTTGAAGCGCTCCAAGTGACTCTTCCTCACTGCATCAAGAAACTTGCGGCGACCTTGTTCGAAAACTCATCACCGGCGCCCATGCTGCAGTGTATAGGAAAACATTGGAGATTTTGAACCTTTTTGAAAACTATTATGCAAAGCACTGTGAAGCAGTATCAGAATGTATAGGATCAAAATCGTTGAGGATCAAGGCCTTCTCACAGTGGACACATCAGAGTTGTGCCAAGCATCGACATCTTGTCGCCAAGTCCCATAATGCCTTTGATACCTTTGCATTTGCTCTGAAGTGATGCTCGCTCTCTACACAGAGCACATAGCTCGATCATCCAACCTACGTTCACATATCCAACTCATTTTCACAATTCTTAATAAGATTATTATATTATATAAGATTATAAAATTATTATAAAATGGCAAACTTGTGAACCGTTCGGATCTCCATGGATCTCCGAGCAATGCTGGTGCACTGCTTGCCTGGAGCACTGCCTTTTTCAGGTGCAACAAAAACTGCGGTGGAAAATATGGCACCCGACTTCGAATTCACTGGAAAATGACTTGAGACATTTTCTAACCATAGCCTAAAATTCCTATATCTTCCCTATCCTTCTTATCCTTTTGATTCTACATCCTTCCACTTCCAACATCTCGAGGTCTCTGCCTACGCTCGGCTCAGGCTGTCTGAAAAATGGGTGAAACGAACAGCAAAGCGCTGCACACTCCTTCAGAGGTGGGAGCGCAATCGGGCGAAAGCAAAGCCCACCAAGAATCCTCGGCAACATCAACACTGCGCAAAAAACAACTAATCGTCCCCGGTCCTATCCCAATCAAATCCAATCAATCCCAATCCCAATCCCAGTAACCCTACCTTTCAGGCTTGTCTGTAGCACGTGCTGATTGGAGGCTTTGAACGGCGTTGATGTCAGAGACTAAACTCAGAGTCCAAGCGACCAGCAGCCAAGGTAGCAAGAAACGGTGCTCGATGCAAACTTCCGCTTCCAAATTGCGCCTAGCACGAAGATCACAAATTGCACGCAACTTCTCATCGTAGAACCACACAAACATCATACAAACATCACAAACTGCACAGCATCTTGGCTTATCGGTTTATCTTGGTTCCAAAACTCAGGCTTCGGGTTTGGCCAAGGCATTGAGCAAACCACAGGAAACCCTTCTCAACATCCCAGACTATCGAGACTATCTGGACAAATCGTTGGCACCTTCCCAGGAGAAACGAAGTCCGTGATGAGTTTGTTGGCAATCGCAAAACGAGGTGGTACCTCAACTGCGTTGAACTGTGCTTTCCTCTGTCAATGGCTTCATTGATATGGGAGCAGCTTGAACACATGACTGTTTCAAGATATCCATATCCTAAGTGACACAATCTTTCCACAACCGTTTCGTCCAAAGTTCCTGCTGGAGCTATGGGACACAAGAGATTTCCCCATGGACCGAAAGCGTAGCGTGTAGCGTAGCCACACAGATGCTGCCGTGCCACGAAGAGTCCCTGTGGATGCTGTTGTTGCAGCATCTGTCCTACTTCAGCACGAGTGAACCATCGAGCATCTTCGATCTCCTTCGTGTTCACCTGTGAAATGCAGAGACTCAGCATACAAAATGCACTTTGGCCGTCGAAGAAATTTACAAAATCACTCCTGGACTCGGAGTATCTAGCTTGACGGATGCATACAGGACAAACAGTCGTTGAAGGGGACAACCTTGTTCTGCTACAGAAAGATGTCTCCCGCCTGTATGTGCTCGCTGTGTGCGACTGCCTGAATCAAATGGCAATACTCTGCAGCTACTGAAAGGTTTCAGATGGTTTCAGGTTGAGAAACCTCGCATCTTGAGACAGTGTGGACCATCTAAAATCGGAACATTCATGGCTGAGCCAAAGTTACACAGTTCAGAAGCTTCTGGAAGCTTAGAATTCATTCGAATCAGAGTTTCTTCTCACACTTCTTGTTGTCCTCACTGTTTCACCATGTTTCACTCATTCGCATGGCATGTGCCACACCTTGCAGGCCAACATGAGCTCGCAAGAGCCGGCTCGACCGATGGGCCATGGCTGCGATGCCACGAGGCTCACGGAGTGAATTCGCACCCCAGCCTTGCACGACTTAGTCGACTTAGTCGACTTGCCGATGATTTGACATCTGACCATATCTGACCCGTAAGAAAAACGATACCAGGTGCGAGGATGTGCGAGGTAGATCTGCACAGCATCAAGTTCATCTGAGAGTGTTCTACGTCTAAGTAGTCTACGAGTTAGGAGAGCACTTGAGCAAGAGCTCCTTTACATATCTTTATATAATATGATATATAATGCATATAAATGCACCGCACGAGATTCCTGATCTTCGGAAGTACGGTCTGATATTCGTTATATAGTGTGTGATATTATCCGTTTCCATCCATTTCCTATGCATTGCCTCCAATCCTGCACTGGTCTTACCTGGGAGGATCGCCCCAGCCTCCTCGAAGGCTTCGCGTTTGAAGGCTTCTTCCACCGGCTCGCAAATGTCCACAAAACCCGACAAGCAGGTGTACATCCCAGTCGGATACCTCAGACACAAGATCTGCCAAATCTTGAACATCTTGACTAGGCATGACTAGATCCGATCATATCAGATCAAAACTTCCTCAAATATCCTCAAATATCTCAAATACCAAAAGACTCGGGATATCTCTTGGATATCTTTTGATATCATTTGACATTTGATATCATTTGGATATCTCAAGATAGTTCTGAACAGTTCTCTGCTCAAGTTGCTTGTGGCTTCGTCCCAGCAAGCAACGCTGATGGTCCGGGGAGACGATCAAACCAATCGCCACAGGATCCGTGCGAGGATAAACCTTTGCTCCTTGGAACCCTTGGAACCTGATGGAAATTGATGGAACTTGATGGATCTCAAGATGTCGATGTCTTGCGCTAGATGTCTCTTCTGAATCATTCTGTCCCCGTTCAAGTCTTCGGAATCATTTCATCTTCTGCAGGCCATGATTAGAACATATTAGAACTATGGCAGTGCCAAATGTACTCGTCATCAAGTCTCTTGCAGTCTATTTAATGTCTATTTGTTTCAACTCGTTTCAACTTGTTCGGTCTTCTTCATCTCAAACGAAAGCATGCACAGTTTCAGACAGCTTCCCTTTCAACCCGGAGTAGCTCATGTGTCAACTGATTGATTGCTTCCTTTGTGCATACACTGCGGCTCCTCCCGGTTCCACTTGGCGTTTGGCACCACCTTCCACAGAGACCCTTGGTGTATCTTGCTGTTGCTGCACGGGCACAGGCAAGGACCGGTATGAAGATTTATGGAACGATGGAACGGCTCCCAGAAACACCAAAAAAACAAGGAAACTGTGAACACTTTTCGCTCATCCTGCTTTGTTTTCCATTGAAGCCGAGGACTCAAAACCCGAGGACACGGCGTGGCTTTCCCTGTTCGACCCTCGAACTTGGCAGATTGGTGCCAGTCCTCATTGTCAAGTGTTTTGGCACAGCATCGGTTGAGAGACTGTTTCAGATCTGTCTCCTGACCAACGGCAAACGGCGTTTCCGACTTTTTGGGCCGTCAAACTACCACACACACACAAAAGGTTTCCAATGGTTTCTGTACATTCTGCACAAATTGTGTACCCACTTTCTGCTTTTTTTGCATGGTTCTTTGTTAGACTTTGTTAGTTTCCTTAGTGTTGGTGCATGACATGGTCTCCCAAAATACGTTGAAGTCCCATGCTTTGGCTGTCCATGTCCTTTTCGCCAGCAGTTGGATTTCCATGGATTTCCTACACATCGGCATCTGCGTAGGAATATGGGAAGCCTTCAGGTCAAGACACTGCCATGGCCAAAGCAATGCCAGCGACCGTCACGTCTGCGTCCGTGGCCTTGGACATGAGGAGTTCTCGCCCCGAGCGTAAAGTGCCAAGCGGTGTCACCTGCGACTGGTGGCTTTCTGTACTTTGTCACCATTTGTCACGTCAAAAAAAGTATGGAAATAGCAGGGAAATAGCCTGGAACAGTGTTTTCTACTATGGTCAGAACGGTGTTGGGCAGAGGTGCAGGATTTTTCCGATCAAATTTGGATTGAGATAGGATCGATCTGTTCAAAAACTTGGAAACTCGTAGAGACCGCCTGCGTCTCATTGAGAAAGCCCAAGTCCACCACGAAAACATCCGTCTCTGGAAGCCCAGGCAAAGGCCTTTTCACTGACAAGCCAGCCATATCTGTACGATTAAAATGATTCAATACGCAAATGATACGCAAGTGCTATGGGGGAAAAAGTGTGATGAGAGTTGCCTTAGATTTTCAAGTGGTCAAATATCACTTGCCACATGTTACTTTTTCGACAGGAAAGAGCGACTCAGCCCAGTGGCTCCACAAGTGGGCCCAGGTAAATCGTGTCTACCTCAGGATTTTGCACGTATCCCATGTCTGTAAATCGGTGCAGAACGGTGCAAACTTGCTTTCCAAAGGAGAATTAGAGATGTTCTCTTGAGTATGTTCTGATGTTTTCCAGTTTCCCTGGAAAGGCCCCTGGTCTGTGTGATAAGATGAGGATGAGCGATATGTTATGAGCCATGGAATTGGAACTACATGAGCTCCACACACTGCAAGACAATGCGAGACAAACTCTGCAGCTGATCACATTGAATGGTGTTTTCCTGCTTTATCTGCTTCCCAGATCTTCTCACTATCAACATTATTTTTCATGGTTTTTCATGTCAAAGCCCGAAGCCTCAAGGATCCTTAAAGCCTTGATATGCCTTGATAATCTTGAGTTCACACAGCATCTCACAGCTTCGGCCAACGCAACGTGAAACGCAAGGTCTTCCACTTGCTGTCGCGTCAGCCACTGCAGGTCGCCATTCTCAGCGGTCAGGATCTTGCGCGAATACACCTGATATCGATGCGTTCAATGCCTAACCCAAAGCATCCCTGAATCGAATTGACACCCAGAAGCCAGATCCAAATGCCTTCGTAGATGTTGCAAATCCGTTTTCTATAGGTTAATTTCCATTAATTTCCTGTGAGTTTCATTCAAAATCAAATTTTGCTTGGAATTTTGATGTCCACGGCACCACCAAAAATCGCGCGTTTGGCGAACTTGCTAAGTCTTTGTTTCTGCGCTCCAAAGCGCTAGCACGGTCCACTGGCGCAGCGCAGAAGCGCATGGCTCAAAGGACTTTGTGCAGGTTGTTCGTAAGCAATTTCTTTCTGTATGTAGTTTGTTACACGTTCTCACCACAAACAAGGTAGTTTGTCGTTTTAAAGCGAAACAAGGCAGCTTGAACTTGATCGATAATTCTGCTTGAAGATCTTGAAGATTGAAAACATGACACAATCTGCAAAATTGTACCATTACTGCCAGTACTTCACACAAAATATGTGGCATCATCGGCATCATGTGATGTAACTTTTCTAGCTCCAAGGCTCAGGTGTCAAACCTGACGGGAATGCACCGAACATCGCATATGCAGCATGCAGAAACACAGGACAAATTGTCGAAGAATCTTGATGCATCTTGTGTCGGGACGAGCTACCCTCCGGGGTCTGGGTCTTCAGGATATCAACTAGCTCCTGACAAATGTGAACCAAACCAGTTCCAAGAATGGAAGCAAAAATACTACAGGTGATTGGTGGCTGACAAACACTCAGCACGTCAAAAACATGTAAAGATCAAGTAAAGCATTACACAGCATGGTAAAGCTAAACTTTTACAAAATATCACGGAATTAATTTGTGCATAATTTGTCCATTCAAATTGTGATTAAAACATGTTATATAAGATTTGACTGATCCAGAACTCCTCTGTGCGCTTGAACATTTGGAGATAGCTGTGGTAGTGGCCTCAGGGTCGCTCCAGACCCTTTGTTTCGGACACCGGAAGACAGGTCATACAGGTCCATGATGGTCCATGATGGTCCATGGCTACTCTTTGAAACTGTGCAACGGACATCTCCGTTCAAGAGACTTTCAAGATCTTTTCAGTCCAAGTTTGTCTTGGCAACACGGTGTTCTGGCTCACACAGCATGCCTGCGAGATTTATGACAAAACTGAAACAATTTTTTGTAATGGCCAGGGAATGTTTCCCACCCTCTATTCAAATAACTGCAGCTCAAATCTTTCTAGCATATTGATGGCTTGTTACTCAGGGTCGAACAGGAAGATGGCTTTAAATCCAGACCACCTGGCACAACAATGCACAACATATGTCATGGTTCTGCGATTTTGATGAAACGAAACACTTTGACCCCGTTCCTAGCTGAGCACAGGCCGAATAGGCGGAATCCAGCGGCATCCCTCCTTTGAATCCCTTCTTTGGTCAGCCTTCTTGTGATCTCTGTAGAAACACGGAGCATGGATCAGCCGACCAGCACCAATTCAGCAGCTTTTGCACAAAGAATAGGTCCGGAATTTGGAGAAAGGATCCGGACAGCCCTCTCAATGCGTGCCTGCTGATGCCTTTTGGATCCTTTTGGACGTTTTTCTGGTTCTAAAAAGAATGAAAACAGGAACCTTTGACCTTTGCCCAGATGCTTCTTGTATCCAAAACTTTGTCAGCAAGACTCGGCTGTAGCAAGACCATGGAGGTGTCGTAGCTCCCCTGGCCACACAGCCAGGCCAAGAATGGAGGGGTGGCTAAAGTTTGCCAGAATCCTTTTGCGACTGGAAAATCTCACGATGATACAAACAACAAACAACATCTACAATGAATATTTGTCTTTGAATTTACTCAAACATGTGACTAGAAGTGTGAACGTCTGCGCCAGCCAGCCTTTCCACTTGCATCACGGGTCTCTGTGTTCTCAGCTCGCAATGAATCAGATCGGTTTGATTTGTATTTGGGGAGTCAAGTACAAAAGGCACAAGCAGAATGACCAAAATGACTAGAATCCATTGACAGATTGACACCAATCGAATATAATCACAGGGAGTGAGGGCAGAGTCTAAAAAGTGAATACTGTGACTGTGACCCTCATTTTGCACGTTGTCTCCCCGTTGTCTCCCCGTTGTCTCCCCGTTGTCTCCCCGTTGTCTCCCTAGGAGCCCTGCAAGTGCATCGAGCGAAGCGTTCCAGCCCTCTGGCATCTTCCATGCTTTTTCCAAGATCCGATTCCTTGGCTTTTTCCAATTCCCATGGAGCTATGGTGCTGAGATGAGCTGAGATGAGCTGAGATGAGCTGAGATGAGCTGAGAGCTGAGGCTACCACCCTGCCACTCGAGTTTGGGCATTGAAAGTGGCAAAAGCCAACGCCATGGGCGCGACCTGACTTTTAGATACTTTTAGCATCTTTCAACTGTCAGGACTGTGGGATATGTCTTGAAACCATGAGGATCCATGAGGAATCTTCCAAGTCGGGGATATTGGGGCACAGTTGTGTTACAAGTTGTTCAAGCAATGGACAACTTGTAGTGGGTATGCAGATTTAGACCAGGGCATGACATGAAACCAAAATGGTTCGCACAAAGAGAATCTCAGTCTATCTTAGGAACCTATCAGCCTAGCAAAGCACTTGACATCTCTCATCACAGTTTTACGTTGATGTACGTCAAGTATTTCGTCATGTTGCGTCATGGCATCCTCAAAAAATTGTTTGCTGTATGCCATGGCACCGCATACTGACAAGATCTGAGACGTATGTCTAACGCATATAATTCATACAAACACGTAATACACAGAGACTGTGTCTGGAATGGGTTCTCTGTCCCAGCCCGGATGATTGAATGATCAAGTTGGCATGACGTGACTACAGAGTCACTTCGAAAAAAGAAGCACCATGGTCCCGTTATGTCCCGTTACAATCACCTGCCAAAATGTCAAAACACATCGTTCACATCTTGTTACGTTAATCGTTGACAATACACTTACAGTCTGTCCAGGGATGGACAAGTTTCACTGCAATTACATGCAATCTGTTACAATCATAGGAATCATAGTACAAGCATGTACAAGTTATAACTATATCATAAGCTATACCTTTATTATAAGTTATAACACTTATAACTCTATTATACGTTATAATATAGAATCTATGTAGAATCTATAAATATTTAAAACATATGTTAACTGGTCCATTAATCAATTTATAATATTTATACTGCTATTTGCTGGTCCATTGAGTTGATAAACATCTGGACGACTGAGGCAATGACAATGGACCCGGTGTCCACACCGTGACGCGCCGGGCAGGGCTCTGCGGCTTTCTCCAGGTGTCACTCCGTGGTCCGCCCGTGTCAACATCGTATTGTACGGATGATATTTTTCGCATGAAATCTAAACATGTTTCGGCTGAAAAGAGTTTCATGAAAATCATTTGTTTTCAATAAAGTTGTCATCTTTCATGGCATCTTGAGACAAGACACTTGTGTTGTAATGTGGTTTGGTTGAGAGCAACCTCTTCTTGTTTTCTCCTTCATATTTCACTTTCAGACATCCAAAAGCCCAAAGGTCTGCGTTTTTGATTTAGATGGGTTGGCAAGGCCAAGTTCAAGTCAATCACTTTGGCTCATGTTTCATGACTACTCCATACTCCTCCTCTGATGTTTGATGTGTAAGGCGGGACGGCGAAGCAGCACAAGCATGACGACACCATGATGAGACTTCGTCACTTCCTGCACTCCCCTTCGAAAACATACATATTATACATCATTCACAATGGAAATACCATGGAAATACCATGGAACTCCCGTGTTCTTTTCACAATCGGTTCATACTCTGAGTACTGAGCAAACACCGAACCAACATTTCAGAATACTGAGCCAAGATATCCAAGTTGTACCCAGGGGATCCCAGGGGTCAGCCGGGGCCGGGTCTGCCGTCAGCCTGGAGTAACCAACCGGAGATGTGATACCAACTGCCTCATGCACCGCTGTCCTGCTTGTGAAACGGCGCTATGGAGATCTATGGAGATTTGAACTTGATATCACTCACTTGCGGAGATTCTCACTCACATGTTCTTCATTAGTCAAGTTGGAGAATCTCTTGGCTCTTCTATGCTCTTCTCATCGTTTCTTAGTAGTTGTATGTAGTTGTATGTAGTTGTATGTAGTTGTTTGATTTGTTAGTCACTGTCTACCTCTACATCCTGGACTCATCTGAACATTTTGATCTCGTTTGTGTTTCCGGTCCAAAGTGCACGTCGTGCGGCTGGATCTAAGCCACAGCTGGGCTCGTCCAAGATGGCCAAGGACGGAGAGCCCATCTGGCTGTCAGGTCGAGCATGGCGACGATTTGTCCAGGCAAGATAGAACAAGGGCTTGAACATCTTGAATGTCTTGAATAAGAGCTTGAATAACTTGATAAAGCTTGTGTCAGTCCAATGTCGCAATCACTGACGCAAATTCACCGTGTGGGACTGAGTCATACTGAGTCTGCATGATTCTGCGTGATCGATGTGATCGGCATGTCGTCCCTTGGAGTCGCTGGGAAGCCGAGCCAAGGCCAACGCGGCAGAGAGCTTCCGCTTGTTGCCTCCGCTCAGGACTTCTGCGCGGCGCCGTGCCTCGGTTCGCTTCAAAATCTCGTCACAAACTCAGAAACTCAATATAAAAAAATATAAATCAATATTAATTAACATAATATAGCTGTTAATATATGTTAATATAACTCAATAATATCAAAACTAGTTTGTGCTCATAATCATCATCATCATCGTCGTCATCATCATCATCAACAAAATCTTCAAAATCTTTCAAACTTCAGATTTCATCCGTGATTCATCACATTTTCCTATGCATTGCTATGCATTGCTATACATTGCCAATATACATCCACTATGTCTGCAAATGTCTGTAATATGTCCGTAATCTTTCCTGAATCTTTGTCATCTTCCAATCAGATCGGTTTTAGCGGGCGAAGTTCCGTGGAATCTCCACAGGTCCGGACGAGCTTGGCGAGCTTGAAGTCTTGTAACGAGTCCTCCACAGCCTGGCGCAGCAAGGCGCAGCAAGGGAAAGGACGGGAAAGGACCGGAAAGGACACGGCAAAATCTATCTCGATATATCTCGATCCATTTCGCCTGTTTCGGCAAGCCGCGAATTGCGGCGTAAAATTCCAAATGATCCTGGCAGGATGCAAGCACTGGGAGCAACATCGAGATCATCGAGCAACATCCCTCCGAACATCTTTGAATGATTCTGTTTATATAAGTTTATATCGTTCAGCCTGATTTGTTTGGGTCTTTCTGATCAGTCATGATCAGTCTAAAAAAGTCGAGAACATATTAGCATGCGAACAGGAGATCAAACACAATCAAATATATCAATCAGAACACCACCTTCGGACGCCTTACCACCTCTAAAAATATCGTCAAATGTTGATGCTGCCAGATATCAGGCCTCAACCGTCAAAAGCTCCAAGAGGGCATCAAACTGTGGGCAATAGCCCAACCTGCGGAGGGCAAATGCTTTGACTCATGTCATTCGTATTGCGTGACAAGCACAGCAGTGCTCCACAGATTGACAAACCAAAAACAGCAGTAGTTGTGTCCTCAGCAATCCTGAAGTGCCTTGTGGTGCTGGTGTCAAGACTGCAGTAGATTCTCTCATTGCTACGGTGTAAGGTTGTTTCCGTTTCCGATTCGCAACCTTTTCTACAGGGGCCATCTGTTCCACCGCGGACAGCTGCAGGGAATTTATTGACCCATCGCAATGAAGGTCAAACCGCAAAGTCTAATCACTCCGGCTGTTCCTGATCTTTGCGGACTGCCAACTGGATTGCAGCCCTGGCCTCTCCTTTTCCACTTCGTAGGGTTTTGAAATGCACCCAAACGCTGGGAGCTTTGCAACGGTGAAGACAAACCAGTCGACGCCATGTCCCCTGGGTGCAAACAACTGGTCCTGGATGGTCCTGGATGGTCGCGTCGTCTCTTTGAGGGGACGTCGTGCAGCTTCCCCGCGCCAGGACGTCGGGCCACTCGCCTGGGAAAGGAGAGTTTGGGCGATGGGGAAAATGAATGAACATAATTAGTTAATGAAAATGATAGAGTTAGATGGTTAGTTAGTAATTAATGGGTAATGGGTCATGATAGTTAATGATGGTTCATGATGGTTCATGATGGTTAATTCATGTTAGCTATGATATAATGATATATATAATATACATATATATATATATTGATATGTTTCCCCGTTGGTTGTTGAATTGGAAGGCACTGGGGTACTCCTCTATGAATCAACCAGTGGGAAAAGGACATCTATGGGATGGGAAGAGCTCTAACAATTGCCAAGGCCCACCCAAGACCCACCCACCAAAAAGAACGGAGAACACTGGGCTCATTTGGTTCCAAGTGACCCTGGATGCTCATGTACTGCCCAACCTTTGGCCAAACGCCTCCAAGTTGTCTCAGACCCCGCGCGCCAAGAAAGCTAGGACTAGGACCCTGCGACTGAGTCAAGCTTGCATGTTCAGGAGTTGCTGGCACCACCTTACCCATCATGGTCAATTGCCAGAACAGACTGAAGTCAGGTGGACATGGTTTCAAACTGTACCTTTCCCGGAGGTGTTCGCTCCATCACTGCATCAGGCAAAAAGCTGCAAGAAAGAATGTTGATGGTTTGCCAACAATGACTTGTATGGTCTCTCTATATACAGCCTCTTATATGGCAAGTCTTTCCTTGTTCGAATTGTTCGGACTGTCTTTCGCACGCACAGGCAAGAACGGTGACTTGATTGCACGTGCCTCAAGAAAAACTTCTGTTCCAATTGTCGTGAAAGTCCCCCGTGGCCGCCAAAGCAAATGGCCTCTAGGCAAGCCCTTCTTGGCAAAGATATTCATTCTGGACACTGAGTCAAGCTTGCATGTTCAGGAGTTGCTGGCACCATCTCAAAAACAAAACTTGGTGCTCGTGCGGCAGCTCTGCCCGTTCACAACTCCCTTGCAAGATCTTGTAAGACATGACTCTGAAGCAAACATCCACCACTTGGGACGTAGATGGTCTGAATTCATCGCGGACGGTCTGGTGACAGCAATCTGAAATACTGTCAATTGTCCATGACTCTTCTGTCGTCTGAAGTCTGGAAGTCATTGTCACGATTGTCACGACATGAGCGGAAGCTTGGCGGGCCCTTCCTGTAATGCCTATTGGCCTATTGGCTGCAAGCATCAGAATTACAAATCATGCAGCAACCCTTAGTTACACCACAAACACATTGCACTCCAGCTTAAATGTGCCGTGCCCATGTGCCCCGTCGGCTTCTTGGCCGGTTCCATTGATGGTCTGCCATCAGGAACTCACCCATGTGGTCGACAAATCTGTCCGAAGGCCTCTTGGAGATCTGCAATTCGTTTGAAGCGAGTGAAGGAGAACACAAAATTTGGTCCCTCCAATTCTGCTTCGTTGTAAAGGTCAGAAATGCCACCCTTGGAGTCAAAGGGTGAACAAACGTGAACAGTCTAGTCTGGTCAGATTGCTGATTGCTAGGAGGAGTACTAATATGAAGCCACTCACAATGCCAAAACATGACAAAACATGTTACCATATGCCGAACAACTTCCAGTGCACCAAAATACACCAATTGACAGCGGAGGATCCGACTTGATGAACTCAGTTGCTGTTCCTCGTCTTCCTGGATTTTCCTCCCAAAGAGTTTGCAGCGAACTCTTCCTGTTGCTGGGCACTTTGGAGTCCTCCAGGATTCGTTCGCGATTCTGAAGAATGTCCAGTTGTTCAGCAACGGATCTGCCGGGAGAAATCTTTCCTTGGCTACGAGCGTCCGAAGGAATTCTCTGGGAGATGAGCAACGTAAATGTATTGAGGTCATAATATCAAGATTATCAAGTATATCAGGATTCTGTTTAGTTGTTGCGCATCGGCTCTCGACAGTTTGGATGTCGTTGCTCAATGTCATAACATCCAGTCGTTGTTGCTATGGAGAATTATTTTGTGTTTTTATTCTGCGTTTTGGGTTTTTTTTTGGATTCTGTCTTGCGGGGCGTGTTGTTCCGAGGACGAGGACGAGGACGAGGACGCCGACGCTGCCGCCGCCGCCGCGGCCGCCGCCGCCGACGACGACGACGACCTACTCCCGACGACCTACTCCCGACGACCTACTACCTACTCTTTACTACCTACTCTTTGCTACCTACTCTTTACTACCTACTCTTTACTACCTACTCTTTACTACCTACTCTTTACTACCTACTCTTTACTACCTACTCTTTACTACCTACTCTTTACTACCTACTCTTTACTACCTACTCTTTACTACCTACTCTTTACTACCTACTCTTTACTACCTACTCTTTACCACCTACTCTTTACTACCTACTAACTACTAACTGCTAACTACTAACTGCTAACTACTAACTGCTAACTACTAGCTACTAGCTACTAGCTACTAGCTGCTAGCTACTAGCTACTAGCTACTGCCTACTGCCCACTGCCCACTGCCCACTGACTCCTGACTCCTGACTCCTGACTCCTGACTCCTCACTCCTCACTCCTCACTCCTCACTCCTCACTCCTCACTCCTCACTCCTCACTCCTCACTACTCACTACTCACTACTCACTACTCACTACTCACTACTCGCTACTCGCTTATCACTTCTCACTTCTCACTTCTCACTTCTCACTTCTCACTACTCACTACTCACTATTCACTACTCACTACTCACTACTCACTCCTCACTCCTCACTCCTCACTCCTCACTCCTCACTACTAGCTACTAGCTACTAACTACTAGCTACTAGCTACTAGCTACTAACTACTAGCTACTTGCTACGTGCTACTTGCTACTTGCTACTAGCTACTTCCTGCTAGCTACTTCCTGCTAGCTGCTTCCCGCTAGCTGCTTCCCGCTAGCTGCTTCCCGCTAGCTGCTTCTGCTACTGCTACTGCTACTGCTGCTACTGCTACTACTACTACTACTCCTACTACTACTCCTACTCCTACTCCTACTCCTACTCCTACTCCTACTCCTACTCCTACTGCTACTGCTACTGCTACTGCTACTGCTACTGCTACTGCTACTACTACTAGTACTAGTACTAGTACTAGTACTACTACTACTGCTGCTGCTGCTGCTACTGCTACTGCTACTACTACCTGTCGAAGGGCTGAGTTGCGCTAAGGCCAAATTGAGGAGCCAGCTCTGAAACTCTTGCTTTGCTTGCAAAGACTTCTATCAAGTCGACCACTGCAACATCTGCCATGCTGCCATCTTTCACCCTGTCATGGTGTGTTGGAAGTTCCTTGTAGATGTGGGTCTCCTTGTCATAGATCTTGGAAGTGGCTCTCAAATGGCCTGCAAGCCAAGTTTTGTTGCCCTGCTTCACCTTCTGGGCGGAGATGCGCTCTCGGCCTCTACTTCCGTCACCAGGCTCCAGTCGAAGCTGTCTGACATCTCCTCCTCCCGATCTCTGACCTGAGAGGATCTCTTCGGTGGTCTTGAGGCTCCCTTGGGTTTGGCTGAGCTTTTGATAGCCAGTGCCTTGGTCGTAGCTCGGGGGATCACCAAGCCCATGGACAGTGCCGGTGTATGCTTCTTCTCCAAGAATGTGGCTGCCGTGGAGGAGGACGGTAAAGGCAGCGGCACTCGCGAGGCTTTTAATGGTGGATCCACCCATTGCTCTGTGTCTTGGTCCCACTTCCATTTCTTTCCGCAGGTCAGGCATTTGCTGTATCTTCCGTGCTTGTTGCCGGACCTCTGAATTGTCGCGTGCTCGCATGCTGACATGGCACGCTTCAGCAGGTGGTTCTGCTCCTCCATCCAAAGTGGATCTTGGTGGGACCGCCATGCCCTCGGACGAATGCGCAGCTGGACAGCTTGCATCATCACTCGTATCAGGAGGACTTCGGCATGGTAGAGCGCCAGCAAAAAGCGACGCCATGCTTGGAGCCATGCCGGAGGCGGTGGCATTCTCAAGGTGTCGCGCCTCAGAGTTCGAATTGGGTTTGCTCTTGAGCTGGTTGTGGATGCGGATCAACTCAACATCAGCATCGCACTCGTCGGTCAAGCTGCTGAGTGCATGCCAAACTTCATGAAATGAGTGAACATGTTCAGGAAAACTTGCAATCTTCACTGCCAAATGTCCATTCACGGTGTGGATTGGAACCTCTATTGAACTAGCTGACAAACCCTTCATCACCACCACGCCTCTGCCGAGATCGATGACGGCTTGAAGCTTCTCGAGGAGTCGGTTGCTGCCTAACAACGGGATGTCATTCGTGGAGTTGATGACGCTCGTTCCAATCAAGCAAATGGACTTGGAGGTGTTGTCAAATGCAGTGGGGAGGTACGCATGCATGTGGCTATACTGTGCAGGGCCATGTCCAAACTCAAAAGGCTCGTTGTTGGGAGTCTTCTTTGCAAACAGTTGATGGTTGGTTGATACGCTATCTTCCCACATTTGAAACCATTTGGTACTGCAACATGTTCTCTGTAAGGGACTTGAGAGATGTTGCAAGAACTTGATGAAGACCTACCACTGGTGACTTAACCATGTATGATGTAAAATACGTGCCGTAGATCTCTTTCGGGGGGACAACCTGGTCAATCTCAACGGGGTCTTCAAAGTTCACCAAGCGCTTGCCACCAGAATGAACCAAAGCCAGGACCTTTTTGCTCTGACCGCCTTTCGCATCAGATTTCTTCGGCGTGGCTGCAGGAGTCTTTCCTTTGCCGCCGGAGGAACTTGCAGTAGATCCAGACTGTGGGCACTCGCTGTCACCTTGCCAATGGCCTTTCTGGCCACATACTGCACAGTGTGACTCAGCTTTGCGTTGGGCAATGCTCTTGGTGTTGCCGCTGAACTTGCGGCCAAGTGTGAGGCCTTGAAGTCTTCTTGCAGTGACTGTCAAACAACGAATCACCTCAGATAAATCATCAGCTTGGTCCGCGTCTTCCGCGGCTTCTTCTTCTCCTTCTGCAGCATCATCTTGCTCTTGCTGCTCGTCCGCCTGGTCGGCGGCTCCATCCTCCGGATCTTCACCAGGCTCTTGATCAGCATGTTCATCTTGATTGCCATCATCATCATGAACCTCAGTGACATAGGCTCGCTGTCGAGGTGCATTGTTGCCGCGTCCACCACGGCCTTTGCCTTTCGGCTGCTGGTTGGTGAAGGTGTTATTGCCCTTGGACGGAGTGTTCGGCTTGGCATTGTTGCTTTTGGTGCTACCATCATACCTGTTGCCTTCAAACTCTCTCATGAAAACAACTGCAGGAGTGGGTCGATGGTCTGGAAATTGAACTTGGGCGGCTTCTCGAATCACATCAAATTCCAACAACTGATTTGCTGCAACCAAAATCAATCGTTGCTGTTCCAAACCAAGTCTCATGCGTTCCAAGAGTCGGGCACCACGGCTCTCAGAGTCATACATGCCATCCACATTGATCTGAACTGAACGCAAACTGCGCTCAATTCTGCCATAGCGATTGCAGAAGGTCCGAATGGTCTCATTCTGTTGCCGCTGCACGTACTCATACTCATGCAAGTAGCGACGTTTGAGGTAAATCGCCTTTGTCATCAGCGGCTGTTTCAAGGTCTCAATGATATAGTCAATGCCCTTCTCGTTGTTGATCAATGAAACGTCGCACCATTCCAGCTCTTCTTCAGCCTCGCCTTTGAGGGAGACATAGAGGAGCATAGCAGCTTCGTTTGGAGGAAGGTATGCAGCAATCTGGATGCGCCACACCTCAATTTTGCGCGTCCACTTCTGAAAGGCTCGAAGATCGTCACGCCACTTCTGGATCGTCACGTCCATAATTCCACCTTTAAGATGGACTGGGTGGCGTGCCGCCACGGTATTTAACACCAGGAGACGGACCCTGTTGTATGGTCCAGTTCTTCGTCTTGTCATTCTTGGAGTTCACTGCATCTTGCAAACCTTTCAACATCTCGTCTCTCCAGTTGTTGGCACGTTTTGGATCTGATCCTGAGGAACCAGCTTTCAAGGGAGACATACTAGGCGAGGAACGTGGCGGAGGCTGCAATGGCTTCGAAGGGCTTTGTGATGTAGCATGCAAATCATCTTTGTATTGGGCGCGTTCTTTATCTTGGAGACGGGCTGCCTTCTTCTGTCTCCGGCTCATTGATGGCGTCGACTGCAACGTGTCAGGGTTGACCGTTGGGTCGTAGGTGGCAGCTTCAGATTCAGCACGCTCGCCTCCAGGTGTATCCCATGGATCATCAGGCTTCTTCCATGTCTGTTTCCAGTCATACCATTCAGGGTTCATGCTGTAGTTCCATGCGGCATCATAAAATCGCATCCCACCACAGCGAACGCACCTGAATTCACTTCCCATGGGTCGCCAGTCAGGGCAGGAGCAATCACGGCACCTCCAGTCATGAAAGTGGTGAGCTTCGTCTGCTTGATCTGCATCTTCAGCTTCGAAAGGATTCCACAGGCTCGGCATGTCTGTTTCACTCTCGGATGAAGGTGCATGGTGGTCGCTCTCAAGCACGGGCACTGCAGCTGAGTTCATCACCGTATGGGTTGAAGAGGCATCGGGGACGTTTTGTCCAAACCCAAATTCATCTCCGCTCCATTCGTAGCGAGAATCTTCAGACATGGCAGGCAAGTAGGGCTCCGCCTACCAACACAACAGATTGCGTGCGATTGCAACTGATGGATGATTGCGATCGGCTCGATCTAGTCAATGCGAAATGCAAAGGGTGCAAGGAAATGCTGCAGCGTATTTTCCATTGCGAAATGGCAATTTGGCTCTGCGGCCGTCTGAAATGTGGCATTGGGCCAAAAGTCGGCCATTGCGAAGTCATGCTGGATTCAACCTGGCAGCAGAATGCAATCCAAAAACTGTCACAAGACTGTGTTTTTCACTTCGCTATCTGTTGTAGAAGCCCGCAGCCGGGTGCTGACTGAAGTGCACTTTTCACCGGCCTTCTCGGCTACACCTGGGAGTTGCATGTTCTGGAACAAAAATGCAATGACTAGTTAGCTGAAAATGATTCAAAGGCCGAACGCAACTATTCAACTATTCAACTATTCTTGGATGTTGGTCGCTTTTCAGTTGCCAAAACTCATCGATCTACCATCGTTTGGATGCGCTGAAACAGTGAATCGCCGGAAAGATATGCCCAGCGTACCCCAGGCTCTGTTGTGACAACCACGACAGCTCTGTATCCCTGCCGCAACCCTGCTGTCCCTCCTTCGCTGTGACGGGTATGGCTCAAACATGGAGATATGTGTGGATTTCAAAAGTACTGAAGCATGACATGAGCCATATGACAATTTTGCCTGGGATGAGTTCCCAGGCTGATCACAACTGGTGCGACTAGCTATCGTCAGATGGCTCAATCGATCCAGGTTTTGGGTGACCCAGGACATCTGCTAAATTCGCCCACTCATCCAGAGACTGGTGCTGGAGACTGCTTCAAAAGTCCATGATGCAAGCTTGAAAGCGCACACTCAAAACTCGGAAAGTAACATGTCAAACGTCAGTCATCTCAAGAATTGGCAGGTTTGGACAGAAGGGTATGAATTAAGAAGAGAAAAAGCAATCACGTGTGAAAGGAGCGCTGAGCCTGGTTCCTCAAAGGAACCAAAGTAGCACATGACTGCAGTTGCAAATACCCCTGTCTCAAGAAATACTTCTGGTGTGCGGCCAAGTTTGTTGCCTGGCTCTGTGAGGAACTAAAGATTCTATCACAATTCAGTAAAGGTGAACAAAGGGATATCCTCCCATAGCTGCTGGTTCAGGTTTTCCCAGACCATGTTGAAATCCATGTTGTGGTTCCCAAAACGTGGAGAACTATTCGTTTCTCCTAGAAGTTATACTGTTCACAAGGGAGGGGAAGGAGCAAGCAACAAACCTACAAGAATTTGCAACGTGAAACAGTGGTGAATCTGTAGAAACCATCTGGCACCAAGAGTCTATAGTAGGCGCAGATGACACGGGACTTTGCAGCCGATTTAGCCGAGGTTTTTGGCACATGACATGGGATTTATGTATCAATATTTTTTAAAACATGACATGGGAGTTATGCGCCGACCCAACGGGCAGGTATTTTTCAATTTTTTTGACAGATGACATGTGAATAAGTTCTTAAATTTACACATGACATAGGACTTCCAGGAAAACACATCTGCATGTCATGTTTTGCTTCTTTTAGAGCCCAAACAATTGCAGAGGTCCCATGTCATGTGATTTTTTTCCGAGGCACTTTACAGATGACACGGGACTTATGCATTTTTCTGCTTTTTCACTTTGCAGATGACATGGGACTTTGCGTTTTTTGGGTATGTCCGACATGCGGGTTCTATAGCTACCGCTAGCTTACGGCTTTCGTCACGAGAACACATCAGTCTCAGCTGCACGGACCTAGCCTCACCCCTGAGTCTACAGAAGTAAGCTGCAAAAAGGATTGTCGATGACGGGGAGAGTTTCACTTTAGTCATCGGCAAACCACACTGCACAGACCTGTAGCAAGCCACATCAACACCAGTGAATCAGAGCAACATTGGAACCACAAGCATGTCCATGCGGCAGTGCTTTCATTAAGCAGCGAGTGGCACATGCAACGCAAATTGATGCTGGGTACATCAACATTCGTTTGGGAACTGGGGAAGAGGCATGGCCCTGCACACGACTGGATCCCAAAGCACGACGAAACTCATAGAGGTTCAGGTCGCGATGCTCAAGCTTCACATTTCACATGTTCAAAGCTGATCCAACACCACAACCAGCAATCATCGGACGGATCAAATGGCTGATGCTGCAAAGATGATGGATCAATGCAGGAACTTGCTAGATAGACTCTACTACTACTTGAAGCCCGTGGGGGGGGGGGGCGCGAAAGCTAAGGTTCATATGACTTGGAAAAATGATGGCGCGTTGATATGGTTAGGACAGCTTGTCGAGAGCCAACCACTGACTCACTGACTTTCCCTGCCCTCGACCTCCAAGCTTGTTGACATTCAGGTCAGTAGGCAACGCTTAAGTTTCACTGGAGCATACTGGGGCAATCCAACACCACAAGCAGCTATCGTCAGATATATATCTCAACCGGTGGATGCTCCCAAAGTGTCGGTTGAACCAAGGCCGTTGTTTGACATCATTTCCCAGGCAACAGGCACTCTGCCCATTCGACGTTTCTCTTCAAACGGATGTGTAAGGGATCAAATACTGCAGCTTACGACTACATCTATTGGTGGCATCAAGCCAGATGGACTACTCAAGCATTGGAACCACGAGCACATCCATGTGCCACAATTTTCACCAACCACTGACTCACTGACTTTCCCTGCCCTTGACCTCCAAGCTTGTTGACATTCAGGTCAGTAGGCAACGCTTAAGTTTCACTTGAGCATTGCGTTACCGCTAGCTATTGTCAAATAGCTCAACCGGCTCAACTGGTGGATGTTCCCAAAGTGTCGGTTGAACCAAGACTGGCGCTAAATCATGTCTGGAAAGAAGCACCACCACTGCCGGATAAAGAGCGTGGTTTCTCTATATCGGATATCGAAAACAGCCTGATCCTCCGCCGCAACTTCTTAGCTTCGCTCTTTAGCCTCGTTTTCATCCAAGTCTAGGGGGCGCTCCAGTAATCAAACATGGAACAAAAATCCACTGGAATCCAGCTGGTTCTTCGCTATCTGTTGTAGAAGTCCGCATCCGGGTGCTGACTGAAGTGCACTTTTCACCGGCCTTTTCGGCTACACCTGGGAGTTGCATGTTCTGGAACAAAAATGCAATGACTAGTTAGCTGAAAATGATTCAAAGGCCGAACGCAACTATTCAACTATTCAACTATTCTTGGATGTTGGTCGCTTTTCAGTTGCCAAAACTCATCGATCTACCATCGTTTGGATGCGCTGAAACAGTGAATCGCCGGAAAGATATGCCCAGCGTACCCCAGGCTCTGTTGTGACAACCACGACAGCTCTGTATCCCTGCCGCAACCCTGCTGTCCCTCCTTCGCTGTGACGGGTATGGCTCAAACATGGAGATATGTGTGGATTTCAAAAGTACTGAAGCATGACATGAGCCATATGACAATTTTGCCTGGGATGAGTTCCCAGGCTGATCACAACTGGTGCGACTAGCTATCGTCAGATGGCTCAATCGATCCAGGTGTTGGGTGACCCAGGACATCTGCTAAATTCGCCCACTCATCCAGAGACAGGTGCTGGAGACTGCTTCAAAAGTCCATGATGCAAGCTTGAAAGCGCACACTCAAAACTCGGAAAGAAACATGTCAAACGTCAGTCATCTCAAGAATTGGCAGGTTTGGACAGAGGGGTATGAATTAAGAAGAGAAAAAGCAATCACGTGTGAAAGGAGCGCTGAGCCTGGTTCCTCAAAGGAACCAAAGTAGCACATGACTGCAGTTGCAAATACCCCTGTATCAGGAAATACTTCTGGTGTGCGGCCAAGTTTGTTGCCTGGCTCTGTGAGGAACTAAAGATTCTATCACAATTCAGTAAAGGTGAACAAAGGGATATCCTCCCATAGCTGCTGGTTCAGGTTTTCCCAAACCATGTTGAAATCCATGTTGTGGTTCCCAAAACGTGGAGAACTATTCGTTTCTCCTAGAAGTTATACTGTTCACAAGGGAGGGGAAGGAGCAAGCAACAAACCTACAAGAATTTGCAACGTGAAACAGTGGTGAATCTGCCCTCACGGCGCTTCCTTCGCACAGCTGCAAGTCCATATCAGGTCGCCGTTTCAAGTCCTCATGGCAGATTGTCAGCGAGTTCCCTTTGAGAATTCTTTGCGTCGGAAACTCTGAGAACATGCACACGGCAGGAATATCTTTCTAACTTGGCTAATGATGCTAATGGGAACGAGTCTTCAAAATGCACCACTCAACTTACCTGCGATGTTGCGATGCTCCAAAGGACGCAGGGTTCGCAGCAAAGGCAAAAGTTCCAATAGTTTCCACCTCTCCCAGCCTTTTGCAAAGTGCATCAGTTCTGTTCCTTTCATTTTGTACCTGTTCTTTGGGAAGGGATGGGAAAAGTTCCAACGCGAATTTCCACTAAGCCGCTGGTGGATTCATGGAACCCAACCAGTTTTGACCCTCGGGACTGAAACACTGGACTTCGCCACATACGTTGGCACAGCCAGTTTTAAACAGATTCAGATCTTTCTGTTTCACTCTTCCTCTGCTTCAAAACAGGCAGACTCTAAAGTCAGCCCGTTGATTCTATCCGAAATTCCGCAAATCGAGGCGCTCAGCCAAGATTCTGGTCATGAGAGGATCGATCAACAAAGGCTCAAATGCAAGCAACGGAGCACAAAAACCTGCGAAAGCATGACCAATAGGGGCAAATCGGACAAAGTTCATTCCATGGCCGGCCCTTCCGGTCTCTACTTTTCTTGCGGTTCGCAGGGCTACGAAATACTGATTCGATGCACGCGCAATGGATGGGGGGTGTACATTGATGCTGTACATGTTCAACCGGTTTCAACAACAATCCAACAGGTAGGAAAAACCGATGGCATACATTCAATACGTCCAACCATACCTTCCTCTTTGACTGATGAAGCATACACAATCCTTATGTGTCTGCTTGACTCCCAGTTCCTAAGTACTTGTCAACAAACACCCCGCTGTGAGCCAGATGCAATCGCTGATAGGGTCCCTATGTTGCTTTGAACAAATGCTTCGTGTCACACAAGTGGAGTTTCGACTATGTCCAGACCTTCACTCTTACTCACTGATTGACATGTGTACTGACATGTATTCCGGCATACTGCCACGTATCTAGCACACTCTTGGCCACTCTTGGCCACGAACAATGCCCAGGAAATACTGACCTTGCAAGCCTTTTCTCGCAACCATGAAATGGCGCTTGGCCATGAAATCCGCCCGCACCGAAGGTTAGCAGAGAGAGAGATACGAATGGACCGATCTGTCCGTCTGGCGCAGCTTCAGCCAGCGAGTTGGGCCCCAACTTTGGCCCAACTTGGCTCTAATCTAAGATGGGCCAAGTTGCCCCAACTTGGACCCCCAAATGGTAGGAACTTCGGCCCTTGCTGAAGCAAAAAACACCCGTTTTCACTGGTAGTTTCCACGTCTTTTTGCTATCGATGATTCTTCGTTTGAAGCAATGATCCCCATGTTGTGTCTCCGTTGGGCCCAACTCGGTGTGAAGCTGTCGCCAGAGGCCAAGTTGCGGCATGTTAAAACATGACCTTGACGCTCATGTGCATCACATGGCTTCAATTTGGAATCCATCTGGATCCCTTTGGGCCCAACTTCAGCCCAACAGCACCTTGGGCCCAAGTTGGACCAAGTTGGGACCCTTTGGGGGCAAGTCGGAGCCAACTGGCCCAAGTTCGGCGCAAGTTAAAGTTGGAAGTACGCTCCCGTTCGGTCCAACTTAAGGCCAAGGACGGGCAAGTTTGACCCCAGTCGGCTTTTGGTTGGTCCAAGTAGGCCCGCACCCCAGAGGGGCATTTCGGGCATAAAACCACCCCAGGTGCTGACAGAGGGTTTTAATGCAGAAATGGCCATTTCGGGCTTAAATCCCCAGATTAGGTTTGTTTATTTGGTGATTTTCATGCAAAAAGATGGTTTGAAGGGTTGCGTGCTCGATCAGCTGTTGCCTTCGCATTTGTGGCCTCTGAGACCTGTACTGGATTCATATATGTCATGGGGCCGCTATAGGGCTGTGTCTGCGCTCACGGTACATTAACATATCAAATATTTTATTACTTAGCACTCGTCCTCTTTCGTGTGTGTGAAGCAGTATCATGTCTTGTGTGCCTACATGGCATTGCATGCCAATAGCTTCCACAAGCTTTGCCATTCTGCAAGGAAGAGGTTGCCAGGATGGAAGCCACCCTGGCACTCCATGAAGCTTGCCAAAAGCATGCGGTGTCTCACCAGCAGGTGGCTTTTGCCTTGCATCCAGCAAGCCTCTTTACCTTGGAAGCCATCAAGAAACCCAACGGGGTTCAAGCTCATTCCCATGGGGCACTTGTCCAAAGCCAAGGGTGAGCTTCGCAAGGGGCTATCACTATGGAACATGGTGGTGTCACATGGCACATCCACCCTTGGAAGCAAGTCCATGATTGGGGGAGGCAGCCACAGCCACAGGAATCTTTGGCTCCATTTTGGTGGTGCAAGCCAGCTGAAAATGATTACAGTATGGAGTTCAGCACCATCACCTTACAGAGCATGGGCTCCAATTTCAAACTCCCATGCCTCACCAACATGGACAAGGTTGGCCCCAATGAAACCTTGGTTTGCCAGAAAATTGATCCTGCAGCAGATGACCAAGGAGATGGAAAACCAGCCCAGCCAGGCACCCAAGAAGAGAAGGAAGGCTTGAGGTAAGTCCATCCATCAACAAGATGGCAACCATGCAGATTCTCACAATGGTGAAAAAAGGGGCATGCAGCATAGTTTTAGCCATTGGCATTGCAGACACCATTGGCATTACATACTTCTATTTGCTTGCCACTACAGCCAATAAATGGCATTGCAATGCAAGCAGTGTATATGGCATCACAGCCTCCAATGGCATTTCATGTTGTACAGCTTCTCCATGGGTAGAATTTGCCAATGGTCTTTCATACCTGTAGCTTGCATGGGATTACAGCCAATTTATGGCATTACAGCCATCAGTGGCATTACAGCCATCAATGGCATTGCACCAGCATTTGTTTTATTTTACCAATGTTTGTTCAGAAGCAGTGACTGCCATGTTGTAATCAGGGGAACAACTATGGCCAACCTTGGCCTTTCAGTGCCCAAGGTGGCCAGCCTTTGCCACCAATCGCCCCAAGCAGCCTCCAAACTGTGCTGTATAGCCATGGCCATGAAGAGCAACAGCCAGATGAAGACCATGAAGGGTGCCACCATGAAGCCCATGAAAGCCATCAAGCTGAAGGCCATGAAGGCCATGAAGCTGAAGGCCATGAAGGCCATGAAGCTGAAGGCCGAAGCCTGCCACCAAGAACCAGAAGACTGCCATGAAGAGCAAAACCATGGCCCATGACCCATACACCCTG